TAAAATGTAACAACAATTCATTAAACCCGAAAATGCTAAAATATCTCTGGTTCTCCAACAGATTTCCAGTTTTACAGATCCATAAACCGAATACCAAAACAAGATATCTTGGACATTTTAACATTTAAATAAGTACTGCATCATAACCAGGGTTTTTCTCTATCTCCTGACATTTTATTGACAATACAATACTTCAATGGGAGGCGTGTGGCGCAGTGGCTTGTGCGTTGGTGTTCAAACCCCACTGCAGTCAGCATGTCGTTGTGTCCCTGAGACTCTTCACCCCAAATTGCTCCTGTGGGGATTGCCCACAGTATTGAGTATGTGAGTCGCTTTGGATAAAAGCGTCTAACAAGTGGGTTTAACAAGGGTTTAATTTCAGTATTAGATTGGTCCCAAGTTGGTAATGGTAACCTTACAAGGCAAAAAACAAGTAAAATTGTATGAATTCAATATTGTAAGTGTACTCTCAACTACTTGAACAAAAGCTGTGATAATAATGGATCTGTTTTAGTTTTGATCAGATATACATAAAGACAACTTAAAAAACCCCAAAGCCATTATGATGAGTTATAATTGATTATAATGAATTACAAAAACCAACATAATTCTCAAGATTCTGCGAAATATCCTTGTCAGAGAGAGATGTCTGAGAACAAGGTAAAGCTTTTGGAATATTCTAAATATATTGGCACTATATTGGACCTCATACAACCTCACTTTAAAACCTCCAACATATTTACTTTAAACTCTTTCTGGTAACTCTCACAAGATTCTACAAAACATTCAAACCATCTCTTTAATGTCATCTGACCTCAGAGGAAACACAGACTAAATCTAACAGGAAGCGGTGTAAACAGATGCAATAGGATGTTCATCAGGATGTTCATCTTCAGCTTCATAACTTTAACCTTCAACTTGAACCTAGCTTCCAAACAGACATGACTTAGAAACAGTCAAAGTGTTTAACAGGAAATGAGGGTTAAATGTCTTCTTTTAAGAGGAATGTAATAAATGTTGAACGCTGGGGAATATGGAAGCCCATTAAGGCCAGTTACATGAAAAATATTCTGTACATTTCAAAATAAAGAGACACATTTTCTGTATTCTTGCAACACACTTTCTCACTGCACTGGTGCCAAATGGCAGTATTATGTTAAAGTGGACCTATCATGCTATATTGGAAACATATATTGTTTGGCCATACCTATACAAAACATGTCTGTGAAGTGTTTTGCTTCAAATACCAAACAGATCCCCCATTGTAGCCATGCCTCATACTGCTCATACCCCTCTGTTGCGGCCCTGTTAGAGAAACGCGGATGTTGGGTCCTTAGCTTGAAAAAAAAGAAAAGAGGAGGCGGAGCTAATGCAGAATTCTACCGGAGATAAAGTTAAATTCTGCTGTGATAAAACGCCATCCTGTTCTAAACCACATCAAGGATTATCTCTGAAACAGTATGGAGCTCAAATGCTTTTTCTCTTGCAGGTTTATCACAAGGTGAGTTCCTTTTTTTATTTCCTGCTTTTTAAACACATGTGCTCTGCAGTACAGGTTAGCTCTGAGTGTTAGCGAGGCTTGCTAATGTAAACAAAGACGAGATTACGTCCAAAACACGTCAGGCATTGTTTCTGATAGCAACTTTCTGTGGGTCCGCTGCCGATTTGACGTCATATCGGCAGCAAATCTGTATCCGCTCGATGTACCCCCATTTTTAAAAGATTTTCGTACGGAGGAAAAGAGAGAGGGTTTTATTTTCTGACGCTGCGTGAGTTCCCCAACACACCAGGGACACATGCAAAAAATGCATTTTGCATGATAGGTCCCCTTTAAAGGGTCCATATTATGACTTTTGGGGCTAAAAATGACGAGAATGTTCTCTAAATAATGACTTCCCGTCTCAAATAATGACCTTGAACAATCGGTACTGCATTAGTAGGCTATGTCAAAATAACTACTTGGCATCTCAAATACTAACGTAGTATTGCATTTTGGGATTATAACTCATACATGTCATAAAGTCTCTCCTCATGGTGACGTCAGTCCTCACACTGTCAGAGTCCTGCTTCCATAGCAACACTTCCCACATGTGTGTGTGAACCACATGTTCCTGCCAGCACTCCTCCAGCGTGGCTTTGGTGGCTTAGTATCTTGAGTTAGTTCCTCAAAATAATAACAATAACTCCCAAAATAATGACTAAGTATTGCAACAAGAGAAACTTCCTTAAAATCATGACTTAATCTCCAATTAACACGAAAAGCTTTCCAAATAATGACTTAAATATTGACTTAAAACGTCAAAAATAATGACAAACCTTCTCAAAATAATTACCTACTTTCTCAAATTATTGACCAAGTATCTAAAAACAATAAGTATTGCTAAATAATATGAAACTTTATTCAAATAGTGTATCTCCAATAATTCATTAGGTTTCTTCAATGATGTGATACTAACTTGTAAAAAGTATCTCCTCATTATGACGTCAGTCCTCACACTGGCAGAGTTTAGCTTCCACAGAACACTTCCCACATGAGTGTGTGAACCTCAAAAATAATAACAATAACTCCCAAAATAATGACTAAGTATTGAAAAATGAGGAACTTAACATAACTTCAAAAGATCTGGACTTCATCTCCAATGTATAAGAAAAGTTTTCCAATGAATGTCTTAAATATTGACTAGATTATTGAAGTATTACAAGTCAATATGACATTTTCCTCGAGATACCTTAGTGTATTAATATAAAACATGTGCCTATACAATCTACCTACCTCAGTCGTTTGGATATGGTATATGAATCTTTATCTTTTATAATCATTTTGTATGTTCTATGTTATTCCGTAGTATAAACAGGAGGGATATGTTGGAGAAATACTGTTTTCTCCACTCTTTGGGTTCAGGCACTGATATCATGTGTGGCTCTGAACTGTGTATGACCTTGCCTCTTCTTGTGACAGGAGGCAGGAGGCAGGGCATTTCATGTTGTTGATAATTATGAGGAGACAGACTTGCCGTCTCCTAAATATCGCTTGTCTATGAGGCGTGAAGGAAGTACGTGACTCTTTCCAGAAGACGTCGCAGATGATCCTGACACCTTTCCGACACCCGCGGATGATATTTGCGCCACCTCGATTTACGACCTTGTTGTTATCTCCGTGTTTCGGACGATATAAGCCTGATGTTTTTTGCTGTTCCTTTGAGCAGCATACCTCATGTGTTAACCCGTATCCTTTGTATGTGATTTAACTCTGCTCCTTCTTTTACATTGCATTTAGCTGACGCTTTTATCCAAAGCGACTTACAATAAGTACATCAGGTTTCATAGAGCCAAACATTTCAAGTGCTACTCAACTGGCTTTAGATAAGCCAGTCCTTTATTAGTATATAAGTGCTCTGTTAATAGTTCTAACGCTCGAAGTGGAGTCGAAAGAGATGAGTTTTCAGTCTGCGCCGGAAGGTGTGTAAGCTATCTGCTGTCCTGATGTCAATGGGGAGCTCATTCCACCATCTTGGAGCCAGGATAGCAAACCCACGTGTTTTTGCTGATGGGAACTTGGGTCCCCTTCGCAGTGAGGGTGCAGCGAGTCGTTTGGCTGATGCAGAGCGTAGTGCACGTGCTGGGGTGTACGGTTTAACCATGTCCTGGATGTACGAAGGGCCAGATCCATTCGCAGCACGGTAAGCAAGTACCAGTGTCTTGAAGTGGATTCTAGCAGTTACCGGAAGCCAGTGAAGGGAGCGGAGGAGCGGAGTGGTGTGGGAGACTTTAGGAAGGTTGAAGACCAGATGAGCCGCTGCATTCTTAATCTCCAATTTATAAGAAAAGTTTCCAATTAATGACTTAAATATTGACTTAATTCATTAAGAATAATGACAAACTTCATCCAAATAATTTCTCAAGTTGTTGAAAGTATCTAAAAACAATAAGTAACTTTCTTCGAGTATCTCCAATAATAATTAAGTTATGCAATTAGGGTAACTTCAGTCCTCTCATTGGAAGAATTTAGCTTCCATAGGATCACTTCCCTAATTGGGGCGGTGGTGGCGAAGTCGATAGGGACTTGGCTTGGCAACTGGAAGGTCACCAGTTCAAGACCCGGCAAGACCAAGTGCTACCGAGGTGTCCCTGAGCAAGGCACCGTTCCCTACACTGCTCCCCGGGTGCCGTTCAAAATGGCAGCACACTGCTCCTAACACTAGGATGGGTTAAATGCAGGGAAACAATTTCCCCACGGGGATTAATAAAAGTCCATCTTATCTTATCTTATGTGTTTGAGAACCACATCATGAGGTGAAACAAACTCAAGTTGTTGAAAGTATCTAAAAACAATAAGTAACTTTCTTCGAGATACCTTAGTGTACTAAAATAACTACTAAGTATCTCCAATAAATAACTAAGTTTTGCAATTACTGTATGTGATACTAACTTGTATAAAGTTATTTAAAGCTCTTTAAAGCCCTCATTATAGAAATTGGAGGATGAAACCCTCTTTAATGGTCACACATGCACACAGCACACACAGTGACATGTAGTGTCTGCATTTAACCCATCCTAGTACTAGGAGCAGTGGGCAGCACTTCAGTCCTCACACTGGCAGAGTTTAGCTTCCATAGAACACTTCCCACATGTGTGTGTGAACCCCATCATGTCAGGGGGGGGGAAACAAACTCAAAATAATGACAAAATGATTGCAAAATTAGAAACTTCCTTAAAATCATGACTTCATCTCCAATTGATAAGAAAAGTTTCCAATTAATGACTTAAATATTGACTAAATTCATTAAGAATAATGACAAACTTCCTCCAAAAGAATTCTCAAGTTGTTGAAAGTATCCAAAAACAGTAAGTCTTGCAAAATAATATGAAACCTTCTTAGAAACACCTTAGTGTATTAAAATAACTACTAAGAATCTCCACTAAGAGTTGAGCTTCCATAGGACACTTCCCACATGTGTGTGAAACCCCCATCATGTCAGGGGGGGGTAAAACAAACTCACGTTCTCCAGCCGGCACTCCTCCAGCGTGGCGTTAGTGGCGTTGAGTCGTCCCCCCATCACCAGGAGGTCTGCTCTCAGGACGTCCCTCTGCTCCCTGGTCTCCTCCAGCCGCTCCTCCAGAGCCACTTTGTTCTTGCCGTAAACCACCTTGGCTCCTTCCAGTTTCTCCGTGACCTCCTGCATCTCAGCCCGACACCGAGCAGAGCTCTTCAGGTCCGGAGACGTCGCCCACACCACGATGATGATCAACGACACCACGGACCACAGAGCCAGCAGCGCGAGGACCACGTTCTTCGCCGTCTGAGAGGGTTTGGAGGCGGCCGCCATTAGAGAAAGAGGTGGAGGAGGATGATGGAGATGGAAGATGAAGAAGTAGAGCTGCTCTCACTTTGCCTCTCTCAGGGTGAAGTGAGCTGGACTTTCCCTTCTAGCTGGGCAGGGGAAAATGTCAAAATTCAGCCACACCTCCTCTGCCTCACCCACTTTTCTCCCCCTCCTGGAGCCTCCCCACCCTAAAACTCACCCTCCTCCTCCTCCTCCCCCTCCAAGTTAATATTATGTATTTATTTCAACAAGGACCTTGCATACAAATACATTAATCTCAGAGAGATTAAGAGAAGAATTATGCCAGACTTTAGCTAATGGCTCATTTCCATCTGCAGTCCTCGTCAGTGTTATCATGCCAAGAGGACGCCGTGATCAACAGGAAAGTCACACACACACTTTACACATAAACGAAACTTTCCATGTGCAGCCTGTGTGGTGTGTGTGTGTGCAGAGTGTGTGTGTGTGTGTGTACGTGTGTGTAAATACCAACTAGGGAAAGGGGAAAATGCCTCCAAAACATGACTAAATATTTCAAAAACACATTACAACACATGTGCTTTTAAAAACATGTACTGAATGCAGCATAATACACAGTGTGTGTGTGTGTGTGTGTGTGTGTGTGTGTGTGTGTGTGTGTGTGTGTGTGTGTGTGTAGAATGTCTGACAGTTCCTCTGACGTTACAGGACGCCCTGTGTTTGTGTGTGTGTGCAGTGCGGTGTGCGTGCGTGCAGTGTCTGTGGTGTGTGTGTGTGTGTGTGTGTGTGTGTGTGTGTGTGTGTGTGTGTGTGTGTGTGTGTGTGTGTGTGAAGAATGTCTGACAGTTCCTCTGACGTTACAGGACGCCCTGTGTTTGTGTGTGTGTGCAGTGCGGTGTGCGTGCGTGCAGTGTCTGTGGTGTGTGTGGTGTGTGTGTGTGTGTGTGTGTGTGTGTGTGTGTGTGTGTGTGTGTGTGTGTGTGTGTGTGAAGAATGTCTGACAGTTCCTCTGACGTTACAGGACGCCCTGTGTTTGTGTGTGTGTGCAGTGCGGTGTGCGTGCGTGCAGTGTCTGTGGTGTGTGTGTGTGTGTGTGTGTGTGTGTGTGTGTGTGTGTGTTTGGGGGGGGAACACTGAGGCTTTCTGTTTCTATTTCCCAGCCTCTCAGGGATATGAACCTGGATGAACTGTGAAGTCCAAACTATGTGGATCCTTGGCAGCAGCGTGACTTTAAAAAAGAAAAGAAAAAAGGTTTGAGGCTTCGACTAACTTCAATAAAGCACTTTGAATTGCCTTTGTGCTTCTGTAAACTAAGCTTAAGATGCAGAAACACAGAAACACAGAAAGTGTGTTTCTCTTTCTGATTCTCTCGGCTTCATTCCTCTTCAGCGCTCACTTTTTCCTGACCTGTTGCCAGCTCACAACTGGCAGCGTGGAAACAGCCAAACAACATGTCTGTATAAACATCTGTACTGCGGTAAAGCTACAGGAATCTCTCAGAGTTGAACTCTTCCTCGGGACACACCTCTTCACCAACACACTGCACTTTCACACTTAACTGTTAATGTGATCATATTCTGAATGTTTTCTGTCACGGGGGAATTTGGGTGATGCAACAGTTGCTCAATTTTAAAATGAAAAAAAGATAGATACAAAAATAATAAAAAATAGTTTTTCATAACCTGTGATTTTATTAAACAGAAGATAGAAAGTGCTTATGATTGAAAAAGGAAATTAAAAAAAATTAGGCAATTACAGCAATACCAAAATAAACTACCAAAAAAGTTATATAAAAAATAAAGAAATAAGCAATAAAAAAAGTAATTGGAAAAATAAAAATAATAATAATAATAATAATATATACAACTAAAATAATAATATATACACAATTAAAATAATAATATGTACCATTACAATAATAATAATTATTATTATAGTACAGTTAAAACAATTGTAATAATGATAATTCAAATAATAATAATTTAAATAATTAAAATGCCAAACCAGCAAACCTGTACCCACAGGTATATTGCTTTAGTAAAAAGCAATATGGAAACATAAGTAACATAATTGTACATGGGTTTAGAAACTGAACAAAGTCTCTAGTGTACATCAACATGAAGGAGGTCAAAGGTCAGTAGAGGTGGGAGGCGGGAGATGTTTGTTTACTAGAAAGATCATGTGTTTTTCGAGTCAAGGCCAAAATACACCAGCGATGAACAGTTTTTCAAAATATATTTTTTTACCCACTTGATTTGTCTGTAAAGGCCCGACACACCAATCTGACACCAAAGAACACGTCCCGACAGAACACGTCTGTTGTGTCGCCTCACGTCTCTGCGTCTTGGCCATGTGTCGCACTGGAACACACCGCAAAGACTTCAGCCGACGGCCAAGTAGCACGTACGAACTGCGCATGCATGACAATAACTCTCCTTACCAGCAGGCGGCGGTAGTGTGTATTCGTCATTCAAAAGAGGCAACAACCGGAAGACAGACTGCGTGATAACCGAGAGAAGAAGAACAGACTGCGTGATATAAACAAACAACAAATAGCGTTCTATTTTCACTCTACAGCGAGAAGCTCACGGGGCTTTCCCGAACCTGAGTCGAGAGCTGGAGTTCAATGAAAGCTCAGATTTGCCTTCTTAATAGTTTCTTTGGGTCCCTCACTTCCATTTCGCTTCTCATGCACTGATTCGCTAGCTGAACAGCCAATCAGAGTGTCGGGACGGCAGAAAAGACACAACGGTGCAGGACACACCGATCTGAGTAGGGCGACAGGACGCTCATCGACGGCCGAAATCGGCTTGGTGTGTTGGGGCCTTAAGAGAAAACTAAAAACTGCAGCAGGACTTATGATGTAAATATAAATCTGTGGTTTGGCTTTATAATAAACCAGTTTGTTTGATCATTTATACACTGGCCAACCCTGACAAGAAATGTTAGTTTTACAGCATTTTGAAGGGGGAAAAAAAGTCTTCAATTACTGTATATAAAAGCAGACAATTACAGCATTATTAATATCAAATACCCCCCAAAACATTTATAAAAATCAAAGCTACAATTTAACAGATTCACATTAATAAAACATTAGTAACACCTGACAGGAACAATGTCCCTCTTACCCACTTGTGTTGATTTAGTGATAGTGGGGTTTTTCTTTGACTAAATCATTATTAACCTGAAAGACTTTGGGTATTTGGACTTAGGTCAAACAAAACATATATTTAAAGTCTAAAATGTGGATCTGTGAAGAATATATTTGACAAATATAGGATCATTCAATAGACTGAACTGTAACTAAATGATTTATTTTTATCAACGATTATGAAAAGATATGGTATTATAGTTTCAACCCCTATTTATACAATTTGTAATCCCAACTGGTTTTATCACTTTGTTTCTTCCCTTTGAAATCTCTCATCACATTACATGTCACTTGTTAGACGCTTTTATCTAAAGCGACTTACATACTCAATACTGTGGGCAATCCCCACAGGAGCAATTTGGGGTGAAGTGTCTCAGGGACACAACGACATCAGTGGCGGTTCTAGACCAATTTGACTGGGGGGGCCAGTTATTTTCTGAGGGGGGCACAATAAATGCAGGACGAAAAAGAGAACTAGACAGTATGAAGTAATTGCGCATAAGAAAACAATGCAATATAGTTATTGGTATTTGTTTCAGTACACTTATTTATTTCAGATATATCTTATAGTTATTACTGTTAGCTTCAGCTTAAGTTATAGTGCAATGTTTGCACTAACACCATATTTATATAAAAATAAAGGCAATGAACAGTTACATCTCTAAGTACCGAGTACCAGAAAATATAAATGTAAAAAAAACTAAAAAAAAACGTTTCATTGTTAGGGGGGCCACAGGGGGGTCAGAGGTCAGTGTTAGGCACTGGCCCCCCCTAGAACCGCCCCTGAACGACATGCTGACTGCAGTGGGGTTTGAACCTGTGCTCCCCTGAGCCGAACGCCAACGCACTACCCACTGCGCCACTCGCCTCCCTCACTAGGAACGCCAGATATCAGCATTTTTTTAAATCCGCGTGCAGCATAAAGTCACAACTGTTTTAACTTACAGATGCTCACAGCTGTTTACTGCAGGAGACACACTGATGAGATTCAGATGAAAATGTGTCATGCAGGACAACATTCTTTCAAACCTGCTGCAAAAGAAACACTCGTCACCTTCTACAAAACGAGCAGGAAACCGCTTATCAGCATCTTCAATTTATATTTCAAAGTTTCTTCACACGCAAACCTCTTCAGCTCCCCTGACCCTGCTTCCTCTCCACAAATACAGGAAGTTCAGGTGAGGACAGGAAATAAACATTAGCATTAGTGTAGCTGCAGGAGCTGACGCGCTGCAAACTGGATTCATAAAGCAAATGTCCAAATAGTTGCAGATGACTTTATATCAAAGTTGTTGGATCCCCTTCATTGGAAAAAGTATTATGTGAGGGAAGGTGAAATGCAGCTAAGACATTTACTCAAGTACTGTACTTAAGTAAAAGATTAAGGTACTTGTAGTTTGAATATTTTCACATTTATACTCTTACCCCATTACATTTATTTTACATACTTTGCAGAGTGAGGTTATTAATACAAAACAGAAATCAACCTATCTAGTACATAAAATACTTCAAATTAACTCCACTTTTACCAAATGCGACATTGAATTGATGAACACATTAATGCAACAATAACTTTAATACAATAATTTCAAATATATGGTGCTTTAATGGGCTATTCTGCACAATGAGTACATTTACTTTTGGTACTTAAAGTATATTTTGTTGCTCATCTACTTAAGTAACATTTTGAATGCAGGACTTGTTCTTTAACTGAGTATTTTTACCCTGAAGCTTTAAGTTAATGTACTTTTTCCACCTCTGGTACAGCAGTGTTTTACAGTTGATACTGAAGCATCACTTGCTCAATAACAGAACAAATCAGTTTCTGTTTCACAAAAATCCTGCTGATAACATCTCAGGGTTGCAACAGAGTCTGGTGATTTATATCTGTTGCGTCAGTTGTCTCCTCAGTTCCACCGATTTAGAAGTTATTTCTGTCTGAGGTGTAGCGCCCCCATGAGGCTTTAACATCTAATTACATCACATCACATCACACCGCCCCCTGCTGAAATATCTTATACACTTTGCATGTGATCTTTCAAGTTAGTCGAACTAATTCTATAGTTATTAAATAATTATTTGCTTTTTTTACTTTGTTTTAATTGATTCTTCCATACATGTCCTATATTGAGAATCCCCCACAAAAAATGTAACATACAGTAAAAGTAAATCGTGCCTTGTCGTGTGCTTTGTATTTTAAGGCAGTTTCCTTTTTAAGTGAAGAAGACAAAGAATATAAATAAATAAAATATGGATAAAACAACACTGCCAAAAAATGAATAAACTAATACATTGAAAATACATTAAAAAGTATGAATAATAATCATATTTTGGGATACAATTAAAACATTAACGGTGGGGTAGGTAAGAATGGAGAAAGCAGCTCGAGTGCGCTAGAATTTGAAAATACACAGCCGAAAAAAATCTGCCACTTCCTTCAGACTTCCTCACAGAGCCCCTCCTCAAACACACACGGACGCACACATGACCAATGAGGGCACGAGATAAGTTTGTGCCCAGATGGAAGGCTGACAGGCAGGTAGGCCATCCAGTTACTTTAGCCGGCTCAGATGATTGGTCGTGCTTTTTACAGCGCCACGGCTTCCACAGATGACTTTTTGTTATGTATTTATTGTCAAAGCATTTAATTTATTCATTGCTATCGGGATGTTAAGGCAAGGCAAGGCAAGTTTATTTATATAGCACTTTTCAACACAAGGCAATTCAAAGTGCTTTACAAAAAATGAAAGACATTAAGAAAATGGCATTAAAAATCAGTCATTAAAAAGAAAAGCTAATAAAATAAACATTAAAAGAAAAAATACATGGATAAAAGTTACAGTGCAGTCTAAGATATGAATAGTTCAATTAAAAGCAGCGGCAAAAAGAAAAGTCTTCAGCCTGGATTTAAAAGTAGTCAGAGTTGCAGCGGACCTGCAGGTTTCTGGGAGTTTGTTCCAGATATTTGGAGCATAATAACTGAACGCTGCTTCTCCATGTTTAGTTCTGACTCTGGGGACAGAAAGCTGACCAGTTAAGAGCATTCCATGGAATATAACAAGTGTTTCTGAAGTGAATTACCTACCCCACCTTTAACATAAGAGGTGCTTTCACACCGGAGTACTTTAACCCGTACTTTGCCCGTTTAGTTCCGTTAGTGCCTGGAATTTTGCATTCACACCAAAAAGAGAACTTAGTTCAGAGAACTTTTACCTCCGTTTTTTGCTAGAGAGGTGGGACTATCCTCTTTTTGAAGCCGCCATTGTATTTGCTGGCATTAGCATTATTAGCATTAGCATTAGCATTAGCACCAACGCAGAGAGACTAACTTATGGCAACACAACAAAAAAACATGGGATTGGTGGAGATGAGGAGGTGTCGGCGTTCTGGCGATTTACTCGGAAGGCTTCAGTAGAAGCTGCTGGGAGTCCCAGCAGCTTCTACTGAAGCCTTCCCCAACTCCGGGGACCTCCAGCCGGGGACTCCGGGTGGCAGTATACGCCGTGAAGTGGTTTGCGGCCTGCCAGTAAACCCAAAGCAGAAGAAGAAGAAGTGACATCAGCGGCTTCATTTGCGTAATCTTCCCTGAGGGACTTATTCCAGTGTGAACGCGATCGGCTCTTAGTTCCATGGGGGAACTAAGTGCTGGGAACTAAGTACGGCAAAGTAACGTGAAAGCGGCTAAAGCTGATTACAAGACAGTGATAAATCCTTCTGGAAAAAAAGCAAAACAAAAGAGAGGCTTATTTGCTTTTTTCATCAAACATGAAAACATATAATGCTATATATTTATATTCATATATATTTATGGATGGAGTTTGCTGTGACTGGCTATCTACGTTCAGGGGGATTTTGACGATACTGTTAGTACTTAGTGATAAACTGATATCAATGGTTGATATATAAGCTGATCATTAAAATAATCGTTGGTGGGCTAAAAGCAGCTTTGACTGCCAGGTGTTGTTTTGAAACGCTCTGTTGGTTTTAAGAACAATAACAGCAGCGTTTCCTCCGTCAGTCGATGAACGATGAAGTCTGTGCTGGTCCTTCTGATCCTCCTCTCTGTCAGAGGTGAGTGTTTTATTCATATTTATATAATTCATGTCTAAACTCTTCTAATGCTCTAATGTTTTGGATTTCCCCCTTTTTCATCTCATGGATGTCATTTCAAGTTAGTTATAATTTATTATGTCATAATTATGATTTACAACACGTGTTTTAATCCTTGTCACTATTTCTTCTGTTCAAGTCAAACTGGGCTCTCGCCAACCTTACATTATTTTAGTATTATGATAAATATAGTTTATAGATAATATATATTTTATTGCTTTGAGTAGCTACTTTAACCGGGCTTTTCTCAGTGTTAGAGCCAATTTCCTTTTGTTATTATTGTCTGAATGTTAGGCTTAATAATAATATAAATTAGATTAAACTCTTGATTATCAGGTATTTTTGTGAGTCACACTATGGTTTAAAATGTATTAATTTAAGGCTCACTTATTTGTTATGATATGTGCGTCAGTATGGCTAGATGCCTATATATGATAGGTTGATAGGACACAGCTGATGGTGATGAGACGGGGAAGCGGAAAAGTCTTTTGACCGCGTTCTTTTTCAGACTGATAACTTTATTTTACTATGAAGCGAAGAAATGTGTCCTCCTGTTTCTATGTCGTCTGGACCGTTGAATAAAGCTCATCTGATTCAACAACGATCTCCGCTGAATTGTTTGGAAACATAGAGAGGCGCGTCAAAACCCACAACCCCGACAGAGGTGGCTATTAAATGTAGACTGGGATTAAAACGCCACCACACTCAGTGTTAGTGTATAAAATAAACATTTTAATTATGGCATGTAAGATTTGTTAAAATGACAAAATAAAAAGTCATGAGATGATCAGACAAAATTGGTGACGTTTTTAAATGAAATGTCGGAACAAAGAGAAACTAAATTAAAATAGGTGAAATGTAAATAGTGACATGAAAAGTCAAAATCATGAGAAAAAAAAGTCAAAATTACATTAAGAAAATCTAAATTCTGTTATAAAATGTTTGTGTTTGTATGTATTGTAATTAAAATGCAAAGTGTATTCAGACTTTTGTGACCATGTTAACCTTCCAAATATGAATTAACTTAATAAAAATAATCACGCTGCTTTTAATTGAACTACTCATATCCTAAACTGCACTGTAACTGTTATTCATGTATATTATACCCGTGTTATTCTTGTTTTATGTTTCTCTTTACTTCTCCTGACTGCTGTCATGATTTGTTTCCGCTGCACTATTTCTGAATGCTCTTAATGTTTTTCATTTTGGTAAAGCACTTTGAATAGCCCATTGTGTCTAAAGGTTATAAATAAACGTTCCTAACCTTGGCTTGTCTTTAAGGTTTCCTCTGGCAGCAGCATGTTTCCGCACTTCAGGCCTCCACGGTACAGGTGAGGTATGGGGAGGATGCCATCCTGCAGTGCCCCCTGATGGACGCCTTCTCCAATGTCTCCTCCAATACCTCGTCCAATACCTCCTCCAATGCCTCCTCTAATGCCTCCTCCAATGCCTCCTCCAATGCCTCCTCCAATGCCTCCTCCAATGCTTCCTCCAATACTTCCTCCAATGCCTCCTCTAATACCTCCTTCAATGCCTCCTCCGATGCCTCCTCCATCGGCCTCGGACAGTCCTTTGAGCCTGAAGCCATCAGGCTGCACAACAAGAGGTGAACAATGTGACACAATTACTCGATATAAAATACACACTGTTTTCACACACACATGTAAATATATCTAATATGTATATTTATGTTCATTTTAATTCATTTCTTATTTCATAGTAATTTTATCATTTTTAGTTTGTATCTTTGATTTTATCTTTCATTGTATTCATCTGTGTGAATCTGTGCCGTCCTGTTTTTCATCCTTACCCTGTTGCCGTCAAACTACTGAATTTCCCCACGGGGATCAATAGAGTAGAGCAGGGGTGGTGTATTTACCCGGAAGTAAGCTGCTGGTTCCCTCGACAAAAAAGCAATGGGATTTCTCCATAGGATTTTGGAAAATAGCTCGAAATAAGGTCTGTGGAAAAGAAACCTGTTTGATAAATGCACGTTTTGTTCAGTCGGATAATCTCCACGTCTAGCCTACTTTTATAATTTTCTAATCATAAATCTAATCGCCAGAAGCTAAATGCTAACGTTATGCTATAAACGGACTAGCCGAGTCCAGCAGCACGACTTCAACGTCAACTTAAGATCCATATTCAAACATACAGATTCTAAATGGAACGAGTTGAAGCGTTTGTTTGAACAGTCTGCAGGAGGACTTGCTTTCAAGCAGAACAGAAACTAACTTAGAGGAGTGTTTACGTGTTCGCCGTAATGACGTACAACGGCCTCGACAACTTCTGTAGTCCTATTCAGCCACTTGTTAACAACCATCGTTTCTCAGACACGTCAACTCTTCAGAAATCACCAGTGGAGTCACTGCTGATGGATTTAATGTCGTGGAACAAAACGTGATCCGTCTCTTCAATGTGTTTCAACCACAGACCTTGTTTCCAGATATTTTCCCAAATCCTATGGAGAGATCCCATTGGCTCTGAGATGAGGGAACAAGAAGTGGTGAAATGCTGACTCACTTCCGAGTTTTAGGACTCGTCACTGCACCACTCTATAAAAGGTCCATCTTATCTTACCTTACCTTATCTTAACAATGCCTCCTCCAGTGTTTCCTCCAGTGCCTCCTCCAATGCCTCCTCCAGTGTTTCCTCCAGTGCCTCCTCCAGTGTCTCCTCTAGTGCTTCCTCCAGTGCCTCCTCCAGTGCTTCCTCCACCCTCAGCTGGTACAGGAAGGCTGCAGGTCGGAGTCCAGAGCTGCTGCTCAGCTTCAGGTCTTCAGACGTCTCTAACGTGACGTACGGCCCTGGTGTTAGTCCAGATAAAGTCTCAGCTTCAGTCGGCGGTTCGTTGCTGCTGCACGACTCCAGACTGAACGACTCAGCAGTTTATTACTGTGGCTTGACTCGGGGAGAAGAGCAGAAGAAGAAGAGAGCAACGCCATAGCATTTTTTTTGGAAATCATGTTCCCTCTGAAGATAGTTGATTTTGCCATTTTCTGTCATGTTGAGACTCTTGATCTCAGTTTTTACTTGTATCTGATTATTTATTTTTTTCATGATTTTTACATTTGATTTGATGATTTTAACCCTTTTATTATCATTTTGAATATTGTCCAATTATACGACTTTTATCTCGTGATTTTTACTTATAATCTCATTATTTTGACTTGATCCCACCACTTGTCAATTATTTTCTTATCCATGATCAGATTCAGTCTGTCAATTATAGTTTCTTACTTAATGTTTTCTTTTATAATTGATTCAGACTATAGGTACGCCAAGTCTTACCTGAACACAACATTTATGTCATCAGTCGTGTTGTCATACATTTCAATTACTTTATTAAAATATTTCGTTTTGTTATATTTTTTGTTTGTTTTTTCTAGTTGTTGCCCATCAGGGTCATGATTTTTTTCATGTGTCCTTCGGTTGTGTTTTCTGTTTATTTGTGGTTATGTTAATGCTATTAGTGGTCTATTCCCATGATCCCATCTGATATATTCTAGTTATTTTTGGTGGTTTGTGCCTTTTTGCAGTCATTTTGGTCCTTTTGAGACTCTATTTACAGCGTTGTAGTAGTTTTGGTCTTTTTGTAGTCTTGTGTGTCCTTCTTTAGTCATGTCATGTTATGTTGTGTTATTTTCAAGTCTCTTTGAGTACAAATAAGTCATATGATATAGGCCATGTTTTGATTTCTTAAACAAAACCACAGGTGCAGTTAAATATAATATAACACAGCAGGTTTACACATTAAACCACAACTAGGATAATGTAGCTACTCACAGAATTCACCTCAATAACACCACGTAGCCTACACAGCAAGCAGTTCAAGCCCACAGAGATAACAGAGGAGGTTAACCAGCATTGAGACAGACAGGTAAACAGGACTCAGGTGAGCAACAACAACAACACAAAAACAGACAGGTAGAGAGGGGTATCTGACTCACGTTGTGTAAAATCCCATCTCTTTTCATTCATGGCAAAATAACCGCTTTTCTCCGTCCTCTCAGATAATCAAAAATGTGACGCCATGTTGTTTGTTGACAGAGAAATGCTTGTCTTCCCGCCATCCATTCATCCCCGAAAATCTAACTACCTGTCTCAGTAAAATCGACTGACTTCATTTGAATCTATTCTTCATTGTTATGTTTCTTCATAGTTTATATTTGATTCATTTAATAATACTTTTAAAAATCAGATTCACCTGGTTTCTCTCAGGAAGACTCAATCCGATTGTCTCTTCAGTTTACTGCAGTACCGCCTCTCACCGCTGAAACTGCCTGATATCTAACCGTTACGGTTAGGGGGGCGCTGTTTCACTAATTTAAAGAAACTTCCAGAACTTTATAAACACACAATTTATAAAACAATAGATTTATTTTAAGAATGTTATATAATTGAATGATGAAAATGAAGACAAACAATAATTTCACAGTAAACTATGTACCTAAATCATCTAGGTGTAGTCATGGACTCTGACCTGAGTTTCAACAGTCACATTAAAACAATTAAATCAGCCTACTATCACCTAAAGAATATATCTAGGATTAAAAGACTAATGTCACAGCAGGATTTGGAAAAACTTGTCCATGCTTTTATCTTCAGTAGACTGGACTACTGTAATGGTGTCTTTACTGGTCTCACTAAAAAATCTATTAGAAAGCTGCAGCTGATTCAGAACGCTGCTGCTCGAGTCCTCACTAACACTAAGAAAGTGGATCACATCACTCCTGTTCTGAAGTCTTTACACTGGCTTCCTGTGTGTCAAAGAATAGATTTCAAAATACTGCTGCTGGTTTATAAAGCACTGAATGGTTTAGGCCCAAAATACATTTCCGACCTCCTGCTAAATTATGAACCATCCAGATCTCTCAGGTCTTCAGGGACTGGTCAGCTTTCTGTCCCCAGAGTCAGAACTAAACATGGAGAAGCAGCGTTCAGTTATTATGCTCCAAATATCTGGAACAAACTCCCAGAAACCTGCAGGTCCGCTGCAACTCTGACTACTTTTAAATCCAGGCTGAAGACTTTACTTTTTGCCGCTGCTTTTAATTGAAACTGAGCCGTTTTGTTCATCAGTAAAGTGGAACTTCTGTGTGAACTATTCATATCTTAAACTGCACTGTAACTTTTTATTCATGAATTTTTCTTTTAATGTTTCTTTTATTATCTTTTCTTTTTAAATGCCTTTGTCTGAATGTCTTTCATTTTTGTAAAGCACCTTGAATTGCCTTGTGTTGAAAGGTGCTATATAAATAAACTTGCCTTGCCTAAATTAAAACTGGAAAACACAACAACATCAAAGTGATATTATAGATTAAAAAAGGCAACTATTCAAAGATCCAAAACTTTTATTTGTATGTAAAGTTTTATAAAAGTTTATGTTAAAACAGTAAATGAGGCATTATGGGATCTACATAAATAATTAAAATCAAGTTAGTACAATCAACTTAATGAGTATTTTAAATGTTTTCTTCGCATGTAAAATTAGACATTTAATGAAAGCTAAATATTTTAAATAATAAAATGATTTGACATCAGGAAGAACTACACAGTGTTACTGATACATTATGCCGGTTTTTCTCAGACACCAACAACAATTTCGGATCAACAGCATTAGTGAGAAAAATGTCCTGTTTTTCTGTCCTTCACCAACTGAACCAACGGTCTGATCCCAGAGCAGCTTCTCCCTGGAGACGTTTGCCGTTCTGCAACAACAGTTTTCATGTTTTCCCGTTAAAAAAAAGTCTCACTAACACACAGCAGATCTGCAGACTTCAGACTGACTGCAGCAGCGAATACAAGGACCATTAACTAAGGTAGATCTTTTTCTTTAAAACTTCTAATGAGGACATTAAACTAACATCAAAACAATGAAAAATGGCTGTTTTTGAAAGATTCAAATAACATTGTATGGCCTTTTGTTTAAGGACTTCAGAATAACGTAGAAACATCATTTGGGGAACCTTAAATAAAGTTCAAAACAAGATTATGTGGACTTGTATTTAAGGAAAGCCATCATGTGGACTTCTTTATGAAACCTGGGTCCAAAAACGTAATTTCTTTTAAGATCTTAAGAATTACGAACTCTGACATTATTATAAGGACTTTAGAAACATTTAAAAACATATATAAATTACAATAACTTTTATTTTTACAGTCATTCTCCTTCACCGGGACTTTATAAACGCTGAGACTTCAGGATGGACACAACATTGACCTTCATCGTCCTCCTGCGGTGAGACAAAAACATAAATAATAATTTTCTGTTTGTGTTTCCTTTGTAATAACAATCTGTTTCCTCCTGCAGATGTTGGGTTGTTTGCTCTCGACCCAGCCGACAGTCGCTCTCGTTCTCGATGGTTTTCAGTGATGGGACTCTTCTGCTAGTGGACGCTGATGAAGACGAGCTTCATCTTCACCATCAGAACAAGACAGCAGGTACGATGCAAAACTTTAAAGATGAAATGAAAAGATGAAAATATTTTAAAAAGATTACAATCAGTAAAAAGAAAGTTATGGGATTATACACTTGTGTTACTATTTGTAGTCCTTGTGTGTCCTTTTTGCTTCTTTAGTAGTTGTTGTGTATCATTTTTTGTCTCTATCATATTTCATGTCTTTTTGTAGTTGTTTTACTTCTTCTTCTTCTTCTTGTTTTGAGTCATTTTGTGTCTCTTTAAGGTGTCTTATGTCTCTTATGTCTTGTGTGGCTTCTCTATGCGGTCGTTTATGTCTCTTTGTGGTCGTTTTTAGTTCATAGAGCTTCTGCCGCTAACAGGCCAACTTCCTCTTGACTGGTGGGGAAATCATATGCTCAATATCAGCAAGGCTATAGAGACAATGAAAGACATCAATACTAGACTTATCTGGAAATACAGTTGCATATCATCTGTATAACAATCAATCAATCATGATATTACAAATGTGTTTCCTGTTCTTTTGAAGTGTTGACAAGCAAACAATGTTTATTCACCTAGAAATCTGTTTTATTTTGACGTCACACCGACCATTGTCATTATTTTCTATAGTTGATTCAAATGTACCCCCTTTTATCTTGAAATTCTTCTACAAATGTGTAATTTCAACATGTATATTTTTGACTTTTTGTTTATTTCTAGTCTCCTTAATTTGTATTGTACATTGCCATGTCTTTTTTATGCTGTTGCAACACAAACATTTCCCAAATTGGGATCAATAAAGTACTTCTTATCGTATCTTATCTTACTCCACGTCTATCTGCAGGTTCTGCTCCATCAGTTCAGATGTTATCGTCCATCCCTTTCTCTCTGGACCCCGGATCTCCTCACCTTCTGGTCTGCGTCCTCACCGGGTTAAACTCACCTCCACAGGACGTCCTGTGGTGGGTCGACGACGCAGAAGTGACATCATCAGGCGCCATTGTGTCACAGATGATGTCACAGGAGGGCGGGGCTTACAGTGTCACCGCAGTGTGGGAGGTACCGGCAGCAGAGTGGAGGTCCGGGTCCACGTACTGTTGTGGGATGGTACAAGAGGGGCCGGTCTACACAGAGAAATGCTGCTCACAGGACTGATGGAGACTCAGAGGTCACAGGTTCGAGTCCCAGACCAGACACACACACAAAGCTGTAAACCAGGGGTGTCCAAACTCGGTCCCCGATAATGGAATATGGCCCACAAATGAAACTTGTGCTTTTCTCATATTGTACTTCTTAAATATAAATGTACAAATATATTACACAGTATTCATGTGTTAATTAATCCACTTTTTAAATAAATTAAAGTTGGAAAACATGTTCTAACATATCTTAGTTGATAAGAAAAAAGCCCAATGACTTATTTACATAACAACCTTGAAATATACCCTTCATATTTCCTCTCATTATATCTGAGCCTCCTGTTTTAAGGAATGAGATGCCAACACAATAAATGCAACCCTACGGAGAGCTGTGTGTTTTTTCATCAATATCAACCATCATTTACCAAAATGTGATTGATTCTTCTTACTTAGAACTTATGAGGCAATATACCTAGCGGCCCAGCCCTTCGTATATTTTTCTGTATGTGGCCCTCGGTGAAAAAAGTTTGGACACCCCTGCTGTAAACCGAAGGACCAGCTGATGACTGGAACGCTTAAATGACTGCATGTCGTGATTTATGAATACAACAAGAAAAATATTAATCTTTAAATAGTTGGTGGGTTCATCAAAGGACACAGAGATGACTTCTGCTTTTGCTGTGAGCGTGTAAATATATATTTACGTGTATATTTTTATTATACCCCTGTAAAAGTAAAAAAACATCTCACTCACCTGGGCTCAGCCTCTGCACGTGTTGAAGCTGAAGACTGTCAAATCTTTTTATCTTTTTGTTGAGGTCGTTTTGAATGTTTTTTGGTTGATTTGCGTTTCAATGTTGTTGCTGTAATGCGCTTTTGGGTTTATTTGATTATTATATTATTACATTGTTTTTGCGAGGGTTTTTTTGTTTCCTGTTGCTGTTGTACTGTGTGTTTCTTAGGTTGATTTATAGAGTTATTTCTTAATCTATTTGTGTGCCTTCTTTAGATAGTGCGGAAGATACACGGGGATGGAGATGTGGTGACAAGTATTTTGTGTCTTTTTACGTTTTTGCAGCTCTCAGGAATGCTGTTGTGCATTTCTTTGTAGTTTTTAAGCATTAGTTAGATTTGTATGTCTCTTCGTGTTGTTTTTTTGGGTCATTTTGAGTCTGTTAGTTTTCTTAACTTTCTCTTTGAGTCTTCTCAACCCGGGATGTAAACAGAAATCTATGTCTCTGTGTTTCCTCCAGAAGAAAGAATAACTGATTTATCTTTTACTGTGCATGTGATGTAAAAACCCTGAGAGTCAGAGTCCTGCAGGAGGCAAACTGAGTCTTTAATCTGATATGATCAACAGAAAGTAAATAATACATGCAGAGATACACATGTTAACAGCTGTCACACTGTCAGCTTATATCCTTTAAAATAAAATAAAAGGTACGAGATCACTCAGCAAACACAAAACAAAAAACACAGTTTAACCCCCCCCCCCCCCGCCCCCGGACTGTCCCTCCGAATAGAGAAGCAAAAATATTCATGTTTTTACATAAGAGTATATGTAAATCAAATATACAGAGTACATGCTTTCTACCATGACAGATAGTTATCCAGTGAGTTCATTTGGCAAGAAGTTATTACAGCAGAAGACTCGTTTTGACCAGATCTTTTAAAGAGGAACCAAACTGCACATCAGTCAGATCTTCAAAGCTTTGATCAAGAAACGCCCACTTTGACTCACAACCAATCACAGAGCTGTTCTGCCCAATAACGTCTTAAAAAAGTATTTAAAATGTGCACAAAACCTGGAGGAAAATTTCATAAAATTCACCTATAATCTACTAATTGATTATTACAGATCATGTTAAGTGTTTTTTTAAATGGATGATGTAAACATTTTTAAAGATAAGGTTTTCTTTTCCATTGAAATCTCAAGTGTGTTAGTAAATAAAAAGCGTATATACCTTTAGCATCATGTTAACATTTGACACAGATTTCATGTTACAAAGGCTTTACTTGATGTTGAATTTACAAGATGGAAAGTGGTATGGTTTTTTTACAGGGCGAATTTGCATTAAACTAAAATCCCTACCCATGGAAAAAGCCACACGTTGGGATCTTATAATAAACATCATAATACATTTTAAAAAATGTAATAAGGAATTACAATAATTGCGTCCTTTTCCACCGAAAGTAAAAATATGTTTCCAGAACTTTTTGGGCTCCATTTTTGGGAGGGCTGGTTCCTCTTTAACCCTCCTGTTGTGTTCTTTCCCCCCCTTACTTTGGTGTTGGAGGTCACATTTGACCGGTCCTGTTTTAACTGCTATTACATTAACACAAAAACCATTAATCATCACCACATTTCATTTCACACCCTTTCAAACTGTATATATTGTACCAGACTACTGGTATACATGAAACACTGCAGTAAATATACAAAGAATAGACACTGAACATGTGTTGCGTGTGCCAGGTGTGAGCCATGTGGGGGAGGGGCACATAAGAGCGGGAAATGTATCAAATTGTTCTGTGTGTGTGGGTGTGTGTGCCAGGTGTGAGTCACATGGGGGGATGGGCACGTAAGGGGGGAAAACACATATAGTGTGTGTGTGTTTTTATCTGATCCGGATGGTTACTAATTCCATTTCGTTTTGGCGGTCAGTTTTGACCGGGAACACCATGGGTGTTACAAAGTTGACTAAATCATCCAAAATTCAATGAAAGTGGTGATCAACAATTATATATGTTCAAATGTCTACTGTGAAGGATATGCAATCGAATGTAAAACAAAAAAGTTATGATTGATGACAGTAGTAAATCGGTCAGATTTGACCCGAACACAACAGGAGGGTTAAAAAGCTTCTTTAAAATTGTATTTGGTGGCAGAGAACCTTTACTTCAGTTTGGTCCGTCCTGGCCACCGTAGTTTTGTGTGTTTTTGTTTCTGGTGGGTTCAAGATTGATTTCTTTCCAGGCTGATTTTCTTTATTATTATTTTGGAAGCCCCTGTACAAAGAGAGGTAGAACGTGTAGTCTAAAGGGTTTCATTGAAAGGTTTACTTTGGTTCTTCAACTTGGACCCTATCTCACCGCGTTGTTATGTCTTGGGGATGAATTTATTTTGTTAATTTGCAGACTGAAGCTGCGAAATGGGTTGCAATGTTATTTTTCACTGTCACTGTCCACTAAAAGTACTTGTTTTTGCCCCTGCCAGAGCAAGATGTCTAAGAATATTTGACAACATTAGGGAAAGGACCCATACAGAGAAATTAGACCCTTTCCCCCGGTCTATTTGTAATTGTGTCTATCCCAATTTTGCTTTAAACATTTATATACATGCACAAAAACCTACAGGAAAGAGCAAACCCCAACATATTATTAAATGTAAGAATTTAATCTTTATTTATTTATTTCCAAAATGTTGTCAGAAACTTGAAATGGATTTCATTTGACGGTGATTAATTTCCTGATAGGATTTCATTGCCTGGCTGCAGCACTCTCGATCAATACTGGACTAATATCTAGAATTGCTGTCCCCATTATACATTTAAACATGAAAACATGGGCAAATAGTTTCCAGGTTAAAAGATACCCTTTAATGACGAAAGTCACATTTTGTATATTTTGGAGGGGGGGGTTGAACACTGATTGTGTCTCTGGTCGGGCGGTAAAGTTGTCAGATATAATCTTAAAACCAAACTATGTACAGTGCAAACAGGAGATCATCATCACCACTGCTGATAAAAGTGTAAACAATACTGCGTTTACTCACTAACACGACACTGAAATAAACACCGGGTCTATCTACTCATTCGGCTGCAGAATAAATCCAGCGGGAATCGCCAGTAAAGAGTAGAAAGGACTTTTAAAAAACAAAGCAGATCGTCTCTTCAAACCTTTCTCAGAGTCTCTGTGTCTGAAGCTGCCCCGACACTCAAAGAGATGCAGTAGCTGCTCTGTTTCTCCTCGTCCTTCACACCCGTGTCCATGCAGACATGTGTTTAATAATAAAATACAATCAGCTCCGTCCTGAGCATTCGAGGAAAAAGTCACCTTCTGTTTCCAAAAGAGGAAGAAACCAGAGTCTGTTTGTCCCATTTCAAGTACGAGGCAGAACTATTTCTTCATTGTATCCATCCGCCCAGTGCCTCAGTGCAACGTCTCTGGTTTTACATTTCTGTTTTTGTGCGGATCAAACCTAAGACAGTGTAAACAAAGAGCTTTAAAGTCTCAAAAGTAAAGCCTTAATGGAAGTACCTCAAATCGCACTCTCTAATAACCAGCAGGGGGCAACCTTTCTGGTTCTGAAAAATGTCTATGAGAGTCTATGAGAAAATGAACTTGCCTCTTACTTGATAAATGATCCCAGTAAACATTTTCTTAATGAGTTTATGGTTCAAACCGCTAGTTTCTAGTGTTTATTAATACAGCATGGTGTTTATTTTTTAAATGACGGTCCCATTTAGAGTAAAGTAGACGATAAAGGAGCGGCCTTATGATTGAAAGGTTGCTACCACTTATTATAGAGACAAACAAGATATGTGGTTGAGCTACTGAGGTGTTGGTAGGTGTTTGAGCTGTTTTCCACTGCTTCCAGTATTTATGCTAAGCTAGGCTAACCACATCTGGACTACGTCTGAACTTCTTACTATCAAAGTGTTTTAATTGGCATTTAAGTACAGGCCAAACTGATTTATTGTCTGTTTCCCAAGACCATGCTATGTTAACATATTTAAATTAATAAAGAGAGCACACATTTCCAAGAAAAATAGTCTCTGAGATCAATCTCGACATTTGCATGAATTTTTTTCTCCAATTTCTCTGAGATTTAAGTCAGAAATGTAAGGAACTATGGTTTATTTTTTTGTCGAAGATCCAAATGGCTTCACTTTGCAAGGTCGGATCTTCACTTTACACAGAAATGTATGATCCAGAATAGTTTTCAAATGTAGTTTTCTCATAAATGACCACTTTAATCTCAGAGAATATCCCTAAAAGGATTTTCTTGTCATATTCTCCCACACTCCCACCCCAAAGTTCCATATAACGACCTAAAAGGACGATTTTCTTGCCTAGCTTGAGTAACTCATAACTCCCTTGGAACTGATGCTATCCTTGAATCATGTCCAGCCTCTTTACTAAAAACCAGCAGCTCAACAATGAAGACTGAACAACTGTCCTGGCTGCGAAAACACCCAACAAACCCTCAAGTGTATCTGTTAGCACGTTAGCGTAGCTGCAGATATGGAAGTTTAATGTTAAACGTTAGCTCCATTTGCAACAGGAGCTTTAGGTTCATTTGGTCCCTTTAAGTGATTTGAGATGTTTTTAGAGAAGAGGAAGATGAAGTTACGTTTTTCTAAAAGCGATATGTGATCACTGGCAGGGGGCGGTCTTACTGGCAGGCTCCGCCCCCGGCATGAAACCGTTGCTGAGGCTGGTGGGACTTGGAGGCGTGGCCAGTGTGGCGTCGACCCTGGAACTGGGCTCGACCAATGAGAAGCTTTTCTGCTGCAGGCGGGGCTGAACTAGCATCGTTTTGGGGATGACGGACGCCTGTCGAATCCCATCGACACGGAGAGGTGGCCTGATAGGGGTGGGGCCTGTGGGTGTGGGGGGTGGGGCTGTTGTTGTGGGGGCGGGGCCCGTGGGCGTGGCTTCAGAGCTGGGGGGGGGCTCTGGGGTGCGTGGAGGAGACGGGGTGAGGGCACTTTGGTTGGAGGGCTTTGATTTGTCGTCCTGGTCTGGAGGCGGGGCTTCTTCATCAGCGGGGGAGGGGCTTGTGGACTCTGGAGGCGGGTCTTGCTGCATGCTGCTCTGCCTCGACGTCCCTGAGCCCGGGATCTCACAGCTGTCGGTGCGACGCCGCGAGCTCTCGTGCATCCGACTGGTGGCCACTACGGCCTTCATGGCAGCCTGTTGACAGAGATACACACTTCTAACACTGTTTGGAAAACACTGAACGTCCTCTTCCAATATCAGAGTTCACATGATAACAAAGGTATCTCAACTGCAGCTGTGAACATGACAGGATGTGTGATTACCTAGAAGAGCATCAGGACTGTTTTAGGCATATGATAGCTATGTGATTAACATGATGATTCAGCCTCTATGGAGATAGACATCAAGCATGCTCATTTCTGACCTGGAGCTAATCTGAAGTAAACATTGAATACTGCTTTCTATTCCTCCATCTTGTGACTGTGTGACTCCCTCTCTTGGATATCAGCATGTGAAGGACACTGTTCAGGAGCTAGTTGATGCTCTGTATGTGATGACTACTTCCATTCTGGAGAGGATCACAAATACATGGATCCTGAGATTGAAGCTCAAGCCGGTGACGAGTGATATTTTTCTAACAAACACAAATGTAAACGTTTTCTTCCTTCAAAAGATAACTTCCTCTAAGGTTGATTCAACAGATTTGCCTGTGTATTTTCTATTCGAGGCAACATTAACTGCCACAATGATTCTGTAGTATTCCTGGTTGACAGATATTATTGGAAAGTTAGTGGTTGGAGTCTCTCAAATAAAATCCTGTGTGAAAGGAACAGCGATGATTGATATTGAGCAGAGGAACTGAACTAGAAGAGCCACCAACCGGGTGTCAACTTTGCTAACATAGATAACTGATTATCGACCATGATGTGAAAATGTGACAAGCTAACTTTTTTGACCAAAGCTATTTCTTAAAGTCTTAAGTGTTGAAGCTTCATGAACAAGAGGAATTATTTAACACACACACTTCATCATCACACAGACTAACAGTATGTACGTTAAGAGTTGGATTTGAACTCTTTGCTGTCTCTCGCTTCTGCTGTCCGCACTAAGACCTCACCTTAAGTTTGCGGCGAGCGTTAAACTCCTGTAGTTTCCTCTGGGCGGTGTCCATGTGAGAGAAGCGGGCGGCTTTTCCGAGCACCCATGGGTGCTGCAGGGCCTCCCGCACACTGAGACGCTTGTGAGGGTCGAGGACGATCAGCTTACTGACCTGCAGGCAGATAAACAGGGTCATTTAAACCAGGGGCCTATACTACGAAGCTGGTTCAACCTAACCTGGATATATTTGAGTTAGCCGGTTGGCCTAATCCAAAACATGCACGCTCTCGCTAAACTGTACTACGACGCTGGTTATCAAGTGGATCGCTCAAGCCAGCCGTGTCCTATCTAGTTAGGTGCGCGTTCACATGAAAGGGGTGGTATCTGGAGCATTCGACCAATCACAAACATGGAGAAGCGTACTGACGTCATACTTCCTGAATGAAAAGTGAACTTTAATACTAGTCAAAAATGAAGAAGTTAAACTTTAAACATCCATGACTTAAACACTTTATCCAGGATAAAAGCCACATAGTTGCACCTGCAAGGTGAATACAGCTGGTAACAGAACAAGTGTTTGAATGCGTACATTAACAGGTTTATGATATCACTGCCCCGTCTAAAACACGATCTGACTTTAATTAAGCCTACATTATGAAGTGATATGCCACGGACTGTAGGCCTACTTAATGTTACTCTGATCCGGTTACTTATGTTGTGGTAGATATGTGGTAAGTGTTCTTAACGCTAATGTTATAATAGTCAGATTGCTCTGAAGATGGAGCTGATATTCTATTAATGTTCACGTTCACACAGTCGGTGATTTTTGCCGGCCGTCTTTCCTGCGACGGCAGCTTTTCTGTATTTCCTTTCTCCTGTAATTTGACTTGATCGCTTTAAACTCCGCACACTGAGCTCTGATTGGTCAGCAGGCAGTGCTTTCACTGAGTTGAGCTCTTAGCCTGCAACCTAACCTGGTCCCGACCAGGTTAGCCGCTAAGCATAAGTTACGATGGAGATCTAGCCTGCTAAAAAGAGATCCAGCTTCGTAGGACCGGAAAGCCGGAGATTGCCCTGAATTTAGCCGCTAAGCGAAAATCCTGCTTCGTAGTACACCCCCCAGGTCCAAGTGAAGCACCACCAACGAAAAACCAATGGGTAACAATTGTGGAAGAAATATTGTTGATGGAAAAACTGACTTATAAATTGAGATTGCAAGAAATACAACTCAACAGAAAGTGGGTAAAATGGACTCTATACAAGACTCAAAACAAAGACATTTGACTGGAACAATAGTTACATGTATCTTCAAGAATATAATAACATGAAGACAAATCCCTAGCCTTTCATTTTATTTGTATTTTTTTATTGCCTTGCTGGCCTTTTGTTAAATGATTGCAATGTTGTTGTTGTTGTTGTTGTTGTTGTTGTTGTTGTTGTTGCCATGTATAATGTGACAATAACGATTTAAATTACAAAATGTCACTAAAAGAGACTCAAAAATGAACTGAAAAATATGCAAAATGGCTGCAAATGTCCAGAGGAGGAACTCACCAGATCCTTGGCGTTGAGGGACACGTCGTCCCACCACGGAGACACAAACTCGTAGTCGCAGTTGAGGATTCGGCTGTACATGTACTGATCTCCTCTCGGGTCAAAGAAGGGCTCGAACCCACAGAGTCTGGAGAACAGGAAGTACAGTACATGATATAACTGCTTTCAATATGTTACTTGTGGCACAGACAATCGCTGAATGACTTTACAAATGTCACAGTTATACAACATCTTACGGATAATCTGGCAAGTCAGAAATAAATATGTTGATCAAAACTTTTTCTCTTCTGTGTTTAGCACAGGTGAATAAAATGTTTTGCAGGATCCCTTTTTTTAAAGCGTTGATCATTGTAATACCCATTTTGGGCCACAAGAGGCTCTAAATACTCAAAAGCATTCATGTTTTTTTTCAGGTGAGTTTTCACTTTTTCATGCATTTTAAACACAAGTTAATGGCATTTTGGGAAAGTCAGCTGACACGTCTTTCTGTTTGGGTAGAAATGTATAAAACTCAATGATAATCTTCTGTTTTTGTATCTGCTTGTTTCTGCTATACTCTAAATTATGTTTGTTTTTCTGTTCTGAGGAATTGTATTGCATCTTGTTTGTTTGTAAGCTTGTTTAAAATGTTGTTTTTTGGTAAAGCGCCTCTTAGTATTTAACAAAGCTCTATAGCAGCGGTTCCCAACCTGTGGGCCGAGGCCCCCTAGTGGTCCGCGAAGACATCGCAAGTGGGCCGCCAAATAATTGTTCTTTTTGCAAAACATTATGATTTGTGTTATTTTAACCTCTTTTCCTTTCTCTTTCTTGATCCTCCTTAGCAACGGTCATTACAGTCCTTGACAGCGGTCTGTTCTACTGGATTAACAACGAGTCACATGTTGTGAATCGACCAATCAGAACTTTATTTAGCCTCCGTATTGTATATGGTTGAATGTGGGCCGCGAAAATAATTAGATTCTTAAGTGGGCCCTGAGTTGAAAAAGGTTTGGAACCGCTGCTCTATAGAATTGACATGTAATATTCTTATTAGAAATCTAATTTAGAACATGGGGTAGTGGTGCACTCCACCCTCTTGTGGCCAAAACGAGTACTACAAAAATAAAGACAAAAAGTTTCTTTAGTCAATTTTTACAGTTTTTTTTTTATAAAGGAATTAAAAAAGATTATCAAGCAACCAGATATTTTTTTTCTCATCTGACTCTCTGGGCTTCTGTGACATTAAAACTGAGTGATCAGAACATTTCCGCCTGTACGCCGACATTAAGTCGTTATCGACAGTAAACCCATTTATAGTCTCCATTAACACGTCTGAGGAAATTGATAAACAGGAAGCTGTGTTTCACATTAGTACTGAGATCTCTCAGCACAAAAATAAATATTCACTAGACTGTCCTCTGTGTCTGTACTGCTGTCCCCATATTGCTGCTATTTCATGTTTCTTTTCTTATCCCTCCTGTTGTCTTCGGGTCAAATCTGACCGACTTACTACTTTCATCGATCATAACTGTTTTGTTTTACATTCGATTGCATTAAGGCTTTATGATATCCTTCACATTAGACATTTGAAAATATACAATAGCTGATCACCACTTTCGTTAAATTTTGGATGATTTAGTCAACTGTGTAACACCCACACACACACACACCACACACACACACACAACACACACACACACACACACACACAACCCACACACACACACACACACACACACACACCACACACACACACAACACACACACACACACACACACACACATCACCACCACACACACACACACACCACACACACCACACCACACACACACACACACCACACACACACACACACACACACACAACACCACTAGATGTGTCCCCCCCCCTTTATGTGCCAACATCCCCCATGTGAATCACACCTGCACACACACCACACACATCACCAGCACACACACACACACACACACACACACACACCACCACACACACACACACACACACACACACACACACACACACACACACACACACACACACACACACACACACACACACACACACACACACACACACACACACACACACACACACACACACCACACACACACACACACACACACACACACACACACACACACACACACACACACACACCACACACACACACACACACACACACACCACACACACACACACACACACACACACACACACACACACACAGAACAATTTGATAAATGTCCCACTCTGATGTGCCCATCCCCCCACATGGATCACACCTGGCACACGCAATACATGTTCAGTGTCTATTCTTTGTATATTTACTGCAGTGTTTCATGTATACCAGTAGTCTGATACAATATGTACAGTTTGAAAGGGTGTGAAATGAAATTTGGTGATGATTAATGGTTTTTGTGTTAATGTAATAGCAGTTCAAACAGGACCGGTCAAATTTGACCGCGAACACCAAAGTAAGGAGGGGAACACGAAGGCAATAGGAAATTGTCTTCGTATTGTGAGTCTCTATGTTGCATGTCTTAAAAGGTCTCCCATTATACTCTTATTGAACAATAACACATTTGTCTAGAGAATTCAGATGATAGTATAATATCTCTGGTGCATTTATAGCCAAATATATACAGTATATAGTTGCACAATTAAGAGATATTCCAAGCTACAAATTGTATTCGAAAGACATTAAAAAAAACACTTTTGTTTGGGACAGATCCTCTTAAATAAATTACATTACAATTGAATATATTTTTCAATGGTAATGAGAATTATGATGCAAAAATCCTTGCAATATTGTGAATTACTATATATGGATATTGAAATATCAGCCAAAATGATCACAATTGGTTATTTTTTTATGTTAATTAATGTGCACTGTCCCTCTTAAGTAAACTAATAAAATCACTGTTATGAGACAGACAGTGAAACCCAAACAAATAATTTAACATTTTCAATGGTAATGAGAATTATGATGCATCGGTTATTTGTAATGTTAATCAATGTGCACTGTCCCTCTTAAAGGTCCCCTATTATACTGTTTTTCATCAATATATTATAGGTCTCAGATATATACAAACATGTCTCTGATTGGCTGAAACACCAAACAGATCATTGCAGCATTACCCATAATCCCCTCTGTTTCAGCCCTGTTTCAAAAGTGCTGATTCTCTGTCTGTTACTTTAGATGAAAATAAGGAGCCCCTCCCCACGCCCCTCTGAGAGAGATTTGGTTAGAAAGAACACAATCGTGCTCTAGTAGGGCTTTCACACCAACGCGGTTCCCGTTCTAGCTCCGAGCTAGAGCTTTTCTGGTTCGGAACCGGTTTTTCATTTCAGCCCCCGTTTTGTTCACACCGCCCAGAGCCCGACTGGTGCTGCCGCTGCTGCGTCATGACATCACCGTTTACGTCGCTGATTTTCTCCCCAACGGCGCTCACTACTACAACATCGGGGGACTGCGTCGGGTCGATGATCGTGTTGCTTTTAATCACACAAAGCCAGATTAAATTAAATAACGACTTCTCCAACCTTATACTTTTCTCCAGAGTGCCGTGGTTCATTGTTTAATAATGTGTTTCAGCGGCATGCACCGACGGCTGTAGTGCTGCTCGTCCACGGGAGTTTTTTCTCCCGTTAGCTCCGGGTTAGCTCACACGGCAGCGGCCGCTGTAAAGTATTCACTGTATGATTGTCACACAAGCAGCTGATACATATCCCCAGTTCCCCAAAATTGAATGTGTGTCAGTCTGAATTGACACTGTTTGGCATCACAACGCTGTTATGAAAGTTTCTCATAACAGCTAAACTGACTACTTGCTATTGCTATCCTATTGTGGCATAAACCGTTTTCTACAGGCACATTTTACCGGCGTATTTTTATTATGATTCTACTTGTGATAGTCGGACACGACGACCTGTGCAGCCCATGTATTGATTCCATCCGATAGCTGCTATAATACAAAACAAAACGTCTGCCTCTCTCCACAATGATCAATAACAATGAACGGATGGTCAAAGTAAGGTACAAATAAACAAAATCACACGAAGCCTGGTTAGTGTTGCCTGACTTTATAAACTGTGTGGTTGCGTTCTAGTCACTTTTCTCAGCGCTACTGCTTGTTATAACTTTTATAGGCCGTACTCGCCTTTAACTGTTAGCTCAGGTTAATCCCGCCCCCCCTCCGACGTAAGCGTGACGTATGCGGTTCTTGCTTCTAGACCGAAAAATGTTTGGTGCTTGAAACGAACCAGATTCCGGAGCTTAGAGGCGGCTCCGCTGCGGTGTGAACAGGAAAGACCGGTGCTTTTCAGGCTCTAGCTCCGAACCGGCCCTGGAACCGCGTTGGTGTGAAAGCCCCATAGGAGGAGATTCAGGTGATAAATTGGGGGGGAGGGGGGGGTTACACACAAGCCAAAAAATCGTTATGACATCATAAAGTGGCCAAAATCTGATCAGCTCATTTTCAGACAGGTTTTTATAGAAATGGATCAGGACAAAGAGAGAGAGAATCTTTGTTCCTGAAACTTTCAGAGTCTCTTTCCACAGAGGGGACACATGTTGATGTAGAAGAGACATGAAGAAGAGGGGACACATGTTGATGAAGAAGAGACATGGAGAAGAGGGGACACATGTTGATGAAGAAGAGACATGGAGAAGAGGGGACACATGTTGATGTAGAAGAGACATGAAGAAGAGGGGACACATGTTGATGTAGAAGAGACATGAAGAAGAGGGGACACATGTTGATGTAGAAAAGACATGGAGAAGAGGGGACACATGTTGATGTAGAAGAGACATGAAGAAGAGGGGACACATGTTGATGAAGAAGAGACATGGAGAAGAGGGGACACATGTTGATGTAGAAGAGACATGAAGAAGAGGGGACACATGTTGATGTAGAAAAGACATGAAGAAGAGGGGACACATGTTGATGTAGAAAAGACATGAAGAAGAGGGGACACATGTTGATGGAGAAAAGACATGAAGAAGAGGGGACACATGTTGATGTAGAAAAGACATGAAGAAGAGGGGACACATGTTGATGTAGAAGAGACATGAAGAAGAGGGGACACATGTTGATGTAGAAGAGACATGAAGAAGAGGGGACACATGTTGATGTAGAAGAGACATGAAGAAGAGGGGACACATGTTGATGTAGAAGAGACATGAAGAAGAGGGGACACATGTTGATGGAGAAGAGACATGAAGAAGTGGATTTTGCATAATGTTCTGAGACAGACAGAGTGATGAATACTAATGTCTCTGATGTGTGTGGTGTGATCGGACTCACAGGATGTAGAGGATGACGCCCACCGACCACATGTCCACCTCGGGGCCGTACGCGTTCCCTCGCAGGATCTCCGGAGCTACGGGCGTAGAGAGAGAGAAGAGCCCGTTAGACGCCAGATGGCCGACAGAAGCTCCAACTGAGAGTAATGTGAAATCCCACAGAGCAGCGGGTGTGCAGTGAACGCATCGCTGCAGCCGCTGTCGGACATCAAAGCAACAACACAGGTCATTGAACACATCTCCAGCTGATATGATACGGTACTTCAACTAAAAAATACTGTTACTGGTACTTCTGATGTGTATTTTTGTAAATTGTAATTTCTATTTTTATCTTTAATATTTTATTCATGCCTCTTAATTAATATTTTGCTATTTTTGGCTGTTCACTTTTGCTTTAACAATGAACATTTCCCCTCTGTGTAAAGATTTTCAGATTCTGATTCTGACTATCATCGTTGGGGCCGAGTTAAAGTAAAGTGGGGGTGTGAGATCCCAACAATTGTAATAACTAAAACATGAATTCAAATGATTTATTAAACAAAACTACGGTGGCAAACGCGCCTCAACGGCCCGAAACATTACCATTAGGAGAAACGCGCTGCACATGTTTCGTCAAGATGGTGGATGTTTTTTAAGAACTACATAATTAAAGGGGCTCTTTACTCCTTTATGGGTGGGGTTTTACCTCTCCTGCAGTGTGTTATATAGTTTTTGTGCATGTTAATGGTCTGCAAAGGCTACAATTCCATAGAGTTTCTCTCCCACACACCCCCCTGTCTGAAACGCCTCCATTGGACCCCTTTGCTTACTTCCATAACATAATGACATCTATATGTAACTCTCGCACTTCTATTGGCTAGTGCTCCTACGTGATAGGCTAAGGGGCGGGACATCTCTAAGCGGTTGACCAATCACAACAGAGCCGACCAGCTAACCAATCAGAGCAGACTGGGCTCTGGTTTCAGACAGAGGGTGAAAAGAGGTGCTGCAGCACAGAGAGTGTGAGAACAATAAAGAGCTTTTTGAACATTAAAGCATGGAGACATGTAGAGACACTACATACTGATATACAGCTGAACATCAGCAGGAGAGGACTCTTTAAAGTAGAGACACTACATACTGATATGCACCTGAACATCATCAGGAGAGGACTCTTTAAAGTAGAGACACTACATACTGATATGCACCTGAACATCAGCAAGAGAGAACTCTTTAAAGTAGAGACACTTCATACTGATATACACCTGAACATCAGCAGGAGAGGACTCTTTAAAGTAGAGACACTACATACTGATATACACCTGAAAATCAGCAGGAAAGGACTCTTTAAAGTAGAGACACTACATACTGATATACACCTGAACATCAGCAGGAGAGGACTCTTTAAAGTAGAGACACTACATACTGATATACACCTGAACATCAGCAGGAGAGGACTCTTTAAAGTAGAGACACTACATACTGATATACACCTGAACATCAGCAGGAGAGGACTCTTTAAAGTAGAGACACTACATACTGATATGCACCTGAACATCAGCAAGAGAGAACTCTTTAAAGTAGAGACACTTCATACTGATATACACCTGAACATCAGCAGGAGAGGACTCTTTAAAGTAGAGACACTACATACTGATATACACCTGAACATCAGCAGGAGAGGACTCTTTAAAGTAGAGACACTACATACTGATATACACCTGAACATCAGCAGGAGAGGACTCTTTAAAGTAGAGACACTACATACTGATATACACCTGAACATCAGCAGGAGAGGACTCTTTAAAGTAGAGACACTACATACTGATATACACCTGAAAATCAGCAGGAAAGGACTCTTTAAAGTAGAGACACTACATACTGATATACACCTGAACATCAGCAGGAGAGGACTCTTTAAAGTAGAGACACTACATACTGATATACACCTGAACATCAGCAGGAGAGGACTCTTTAAAGTAGAGACACTACATACTGATATGCACCTGAACATCAGCAAGAGAGAACTCTTTAAAGTAGAGACACTTCATACTGATATACACCTGGACATCAGCAGGAGAGGACTCTTTAAAGTAGAGACACTACATACTGATATACACCTGAACATCAGCAGGAGAGGACTCTTTAAAGTAGAGACACTACATACTGATATACACCTGAACATCAGCAGGAGAGGACTCTTTAAAGTAGAGACACTACATACTGATATACACCTGAACATCAGCAGGAGAGGACTCTTTAAAGTAGAGATACTACATACTGATATACACCTGAACATCAGCAGGAGAGGACTCTTTAAAGTAGAGACACTACATACTGATATACACCTGAACATCAGCAGGAGAGGACTCTTTAAAGTAGAGACACTACATACTGATATACACCTGAACATTATCAGGAGAGGACTCTTTAAAGTAGAGACACTTCATACTGATATACACCTGAACATCAGCAGGAGAGGACTCTTTAAAGTAGAGACACTACATACTGATATACACCTGAACATCAGCAGGAGAGGACTCTTTAAAGTAGAGACACTACATACTGATATACACCTGAACATCAACAGGAGAGGACTCTTTAAAGTAGAGACACTACATACTGATATACACCTGAACATCAGCAGGAGAGGACTCTTTAAAGTAGAGACACTACATACTGATACACACCTGAACATCAGCAGGAGAGGACTCTTTAAAGTAGAGACACTACATACTGATATACACCTGAACATCAGCAGGAGAGGACTCTTTAAAGTAGAGACACTACATACTGATATACACCTGAACATCAGCAGGAGAGGACTCTTTAAAGTAGAGACACTACATACTGATATACACCTGAACATCAGCAGGAGAGGACTCTTTAAAGTAGAGACACTACATACTGATATACACCTGAACATCATCAGGAGAGGACTCTTTAAAGTAGAGACACTACATACTGATATACACCTGAACATCAGCAGGAGAGGACTCTTTAAAGTAGAGACACTACATACTGATATACACCTGAACATCAGCAGGAGAGGACTCTTTAAAGTAGAGACACTACATACTGATATACACCTGAACATCAGCAGGAGAGGACTCTTTAAAGTAGAGACACTACATACTGATATACACCTGAACATCAACAGGAGAGGACTCTTTAAAGTAGAGACACTACATACTGATATACACCTGAACATCAGCAGGAGAGGACTCTTTAAAGTAGAGACACTACATACTGATATACACCTGAACATCAACAGGAGAGGACTCTTTAAAGTAGAGACACTACATACTGATATACACCTGAACATCAGCAGGAGAGGACTCTTTAAAGTAGAGACACTACATACTGATATACACCTGAACATCAGCAGGAGAGGACTCTTTAAAGTAGAGACACTACATACTGATATACACCTGAACATCAGCAGGAGAGGACTCTTTAAAGTAGAGACACTACATACTGATACACACCTGAACACCAGCAGGACTCTTTAAGTCCTGCTGGTGTTATCACAGATAAACTCACCGCAGTAGCCCGGCGTGCCACAGACCGTCTTCATGGTCACCTGATCATCGATGATTTTGGAAAGACCAAAGTCGGCTGTAAGAGAGAAAAAACATTCCTCCGTTAATTTGATATAGAAACATATGATTCATCGTTCCCCTCGGCTGTTGAAAAGCTGTTTCTTGCACTGAGGTGTTTCTACAGTTTCTATTTAAAGTGAAATGAGGGCGTGAAGAGGAGCAGAGTAAAGTAAAGGGAAGTGTTGGTGTGAAAGAGGAGGCTGAATGTGATCTTCCTCCATCTGTAGACGCTCGCTGCAGGCCGGCCATCTGGAGGCAGATCCGCCTAATAACCGGACCTGATGATGAGTGTTATATTCTCATTGTGTTCAAACTGAAGGACAGGACGTGGTGCTGCGTTCAGGTCCTGTCATTTCTATAACTTTGGCATGCATTGCAGATATGAAAAAAGGGGTTCGTTATGACTCGTCCTTTAACACTGCAGAGCCCATACCGTGTTCCAGTTAGTGTTCACTTCCTGTCTGCCTTCTTCTGGTGATTTATCTGACGTCCAGCGCTCCATCTTTTAACCTCTTTTCCTTTCTCTTTCTTGATCCTCCTTAGCAACGGTCATTATAGTCCCTGACAGCGTACTGTACTACTGGATTAAAGGTCCCCTATTATACTGTTTTTCATCAATGTATCACAGGTCTCAGATATATACAGAACATGTCTCTGATTGGCTGAAACACCAAACAGATCATTGCAGCATTACCCACAATCCCCTCTGTTTCAGCCCTGTTTCCAAAGTGCTGATTCTCTGTCTGTTACTTTAGATGAAAATAAGGAGCCCCTCCCCACGCCCCTCTGAGAGACATTTGGGTACAAAGAACTCAATGGTGCTCTAGGAGGAGATTCAGGTGATAAGGGGGGGGGGGGGTTACCTTGCTGCTGATTGGCTAATGGTTACACAAGACAAAACATCGTAATGACATCATAAAGTGGCCAAAATCTGATCAGCTCATTTTCAGACAGGTTTTTATAGAAATGGATCGGGACAAAAAGAGAGAGAATCTTTGTTCCTGAAACTTTCAGAGTCTCTTTCCACAGAGGGGACACATGTTGATGTAGAAGAGACATGAAGAAGAGGGGACACATGTTGATGTAGAAGAGACATGAAGAAGAGGGGACACATGTTGATGTAGAAGAGACATGGAGAAGAGGGGACACATGTTGATGTAGAAGAGACATGGAGAAGAGGGGACACATGTTGATGTAGAAGAGACATGGAGAAGAGGGGACACATGTTGATGTAGAAGAGACATGGAGAAGAGGGGACACATGTTGATGTAGAAGAGACATGAAGAAGAGGGGACACATGTTGATGTAGAAGAGACATGAAGAAGAGGGGACACATGCTGATGTAGAAGAGACATGAAGAAGAGGGGACACATGTTGATGTAGAAGAGACATGAAGAAGAGGATTTTGGATAATAGGTGACCTTTAAAAACGTGTCACATGTTCTGAATTGACCAATCAGAATCGAGTATTCAACTAAGCCGTGTAATAAGACTATAATGTTTCTGTTATCTCCAGATGAATTGTAGTGGCGGACAGTCACATATACTCTTGTCCTGTTACCCTTATGGATTAATCTTTCACAGAGATTTACATAACATCAGATGCGTGTTGTTGCAGTTAAAGTCTCATGAGGGTGAAGGTGTTTATTTTTGTTACCGATCTTCAGCGGAGCGTCCAGCGACAGATCAGCGTACAGCAGGTTCTCTGGTTTCAGGTCACGATGCACCACGCCGTTCTCATGGAGATACTGGAACACACAAACACACACAGTTTAATGCAGAATTAACACTGACTTAACATTAATATTCCACTATTTTTACTGTTCTTGTAACCCTTTTTCCCCGAATTTAGACATGTGGGATATGGGTTAATGCCAATATGTTATTCGGCTTTAACAGCATTCTTTGGACAGATAGACAGGACATTCAGAATATGCTCTCAATTGTTTTTTTCACCGCAGTTTGACCTCTTGTCTATTTCTGTTGTCAGAGTCCTTTGTCATGCATGGCAGAAAAAGAACAGCTTGGAAACATAATTTTGTTTTGATGACAATACATTCATTTCTTAGTGAAACACAAGTAGAGCATCTGCAAAAGCATAAGTCTATTTATGAAGACATTTATTAAACAGTAAGGTTTTACATCAAAGTCATGAGTTTGTGAAAGAGTGTGTGGATAAACACTTGGATTATACTGTATGGGAGAGTTTGTATTAGGATGTTTTGATTTGGGACGGGTGGCGCAGTGGTCTGTGCGTTTGATCATCATATCAAGGGGGCGTTGGGGAACTCCAGTTCGAAACCCGCTCCCGCCCCACTGCGTCAAGCCGTTGTGTCCTTGGGCAAGACACTTCACCCGACTTTGCTCCTGTGGGTATTGTCCACAGTAGATGACCGTTACATGTATGATCTGTATGTGTAATGTGTATTTGTAAAGCATTTTGAGAGTCTTTGATAAAAGCGCTATAATAAATATAAGGATTATTATTATTATTTAGTTTTGCTGTGGTTTACCGTGGCCCCCATTTACTTCCAAGCATCAAGACTTTTCACATTTCTTACATTCTTCGTTCACCATAAAGGCATGTAGGAAACATTTTATATTTATCAAGATATTAAAGTAATATGTGACGACTTCAGTCTTACTCCTCCCAGTAGTGTGTTACCTAACAATTCTCCTTTCTGTATTTGAAGGTGACACTTGATTGGGAGCCAACTCCTTCCTGAGTGCTGCTACAGTACATGTGTTTGTCATTTGTTCCGCATCCTCTTGGTTTTTGTCATACAACACTACATCATGCTCACACATCCACACCTACACTACTGATATCACAGACTCACACACCTCATGTTGGTAGCTTCCATAGTTTGTTTAGGTATAATAAATACATTTACTATACCCGTACCTCATGTCTTTTCCTATTCTTTTGTCATGGCCAAGAGCCAGACTATGACAAATATGGTGAAAAATGATCTATTTGTGGGTGTAGTTTTGACTTTAAAGGGCAAACCTGTCGGACTGTCATCATGAGGAGGTTTAATATTTATCTGGAAATGTACGGTTGCATGTTAACGGGAGTATTATTGGAATAGTCCTTTGCATTATCTTCTCCAACCATTTTCCATCTCCAAACATATTTTGTGCAAGTTAACGTCGAGACAGCAATGTTTTTTTACATCCACAATATGAGATTGTTGGACAGATGAAGCTGGAGTGATAATAAAGCCTTCCGGTGAGATGAAGGTGTGTGAGGTGTGTGTGTGTGTGTGTGTGTGTGTGTGTGTGTGTGTGTGTGTGTGTGTGTGTGTGTATGTGTATGTGTATGTGTGTGTGTGGCCTAGCATTACTATCCTTGTGGGGACCTACATCTGTTTACATAGTCACGTGTGGGGACTCGCCGCCCTTATGGAGACACATTGGAGGTCCCCATGAGGGGAATCATTAATTTTAGGGTGAAGACTTGGTTAGGTTTAGGGTTAGGGTTAGGATTAGGGTAAGGGTAAGGTTTAGGGTAAGGGTTAGGGTAAGGGTTAGGCATGTGTTGGTTATGGTTAAGGTTAGGATAAGTCTCCAGGAAATGCATGTAAGTCAATGTAATGTCCCCTGAAGTGATGTATACATGGTATATGTGTGTGTGTGTGTGTGTGTGTGTGTGCGTAGGATTTGGCAGGATGGACTGACAGATGGCATCCTTCTCCAGCTCCCAGCATGCCCTGCTGCTCTCTTCACTCTCACTTCCTGTCCTCAGATCAGAGTCCGAGCGAAGTCTTTTTTTTTTTGGAAGGAAGCATCTCACATTGAAATAGTTATACTAAAAAACATTTGGAAAGGTGAATGAAAGTTTAAAAAAAGCTGAAGGCTGGTAAGATTTTTTAATTTAATAGAAAATAATATTAAGTGTATTTTCTAAAATAATTGTCTCTAATTGCAATGATTTTCCATATTAAATGTATTTGTTTAAACTGTATAGAGTAGAATCAAGCTTTTCTTGGATTTAAATTGTATCTATTTTTGATTAGAAAAATCTTTAATGGTTATTTATTTCTATTGTAGGTGTGCTGATCAAATTAGATTTGTTGTGTGTTTCAGAGGGATTTTGATGTTGTTTATCATTGAGTTTCATTAGAAGAAACTTTTTGGGAAATATTAGAAGCAGACATAAACAGTGGAAGCTTTTCTGCTTTCTAGTCTTTCTTTAAAAAAATGTAAATCTATCAAACAAGAGTCTGATATGTCGTTTTCTTTACAGCTAACATGTCAAATTGTTATCTGTTATTTGTCTCGTTTACATATTGCTCACGGAGAAAACCTGAAAATGAATACTCGAGATGTCCTTAAGTTGCAGCTCTGCTCTGCTTAACGTCAGTCTGCTCTTCACTGATAGTGAAACTGTCAGAAAATAAGAGACGTCCCATCGTGGGGCTCACGACCCGAGTCAAAAAAAATATGTTGATGTGTTCAGGGGCTGTAGGGTGCTTCTGCGCCACAGATTAATGCCACACACACACACACATGTGATACAGCAAATACAACTGTACTGTAATCCTAGTACACACACACACACCTACACTCACACACAAAGACACACACACCTACACTCACACACAAAGACACACACAAAGACACACAGGCGTATGTTTCTCTGCGTGGTGGATGTAGGTCAGCTGTGGTCAGAGTGTGTTTATATTTTAGTGCGTATTTGTTTGTGTGGTGTGTGTGTGTGTGTGTGTGTGTGTGTGTGTGTATTAATCCTCTCTGGTTTTAATCTGTTCAGCAGCAGGATGGAAGCTGTTGTTGTATAAGAGACCTGCAGCTGCTGCACGCCGCTGCTGTTTGCAACTACGCTGCTGCCAGCAACACCTGCAACTCACTAACGCAACTAAAGAAACTACAGCAATCAACTACGGCAACTTACTTCTGCAACCACTGCAACTACAGCAACCATCTACAGTAACCAACTACTGCAACACCTGAACCAACTAATGCAAGTTAAAGAACACCTGCCACTCACTTCTGCAACTTCTACAACAGCAACACCTGCAACTCAGAACTGTAACTAAAGAAACTACAGCAATATACTACAATATACTTTTGCAACTCCAGCAACCAACTACGGCAACTTACTTCTGCAACCACTGCAACCATCTACTGTATAGCAACACCTGAACCAACTAATGCAAGTTAAAGAACACCTGCCACTCACTTCTGCAACTTCTACAACTTCTACAACAACAGCAATACCTGCAACTAACTAATGAATTTACCGCAAACACAGCTACCCAGGCAACTAACTACTGCAACTACAGCAACATCTGCAACTACAGCAACATCTGCAACTACAGCAACATCTGCAACTACAGCAACATCTGCAACTAAAGAAACTACAGCAATATACTTTTGCAACACCAGCAACGTACGGCAACTAACTTCTGCAACCACTGCAACTACAGCAACACCTGAACCAACTACTGCAGGTTAAAGAACACCTGCCACTCAGTTCTGCAACTTCTACAACAACAGCAATACCTGCAACTAACTATCGCAACTACAGCAACAACTGCAACTAACTAATGAATTGACCACGACCAAAGCTACACAGGCAACTAACTACTGAAACTACAGCAAAATACTACAACTACAGCAACTTACTACTGAAACAAACTATTGCAGCTCAAGCATACTCACAACAGAAGCTAAGGCAACACCTGGCAGGGAAACACAAACAAAAATAAATAAAATATTCACATAAATCAATATACACTGAAATGAAAAACATAATAATCCAGTATAGAAGGTTTCAGGGTTCATACACTTTTTCACCAATGATTTTCAATGACTTCTCCAGGACCTTTACCTAATTTTCCATGACCAAAGAAATGACTCTTTCTCAGCGGTACCACTGATTTATTTTAACATGGAACAGGAAAATAAGGTCTGCATCTGAAACATGTTGTGCCTCTAAAACAAATCAAATAGGCTTACTAGCTTCTACAGAAATCTCTCACCAGCAAAACACCTCGACAGTTAAATGCCATTTTACGTTTCATTACTATACGATACAGTATTTATCATCATTATAGAATTACTATTTCGGCGATTAGATAAAATATAAATGATATTTGATGCAACTTTAGTTACATTTCCATGGCTTTTCCAAAACTTTGGGAAAAATATTGTTTTCCAAAACTTTTCCAGGACCTGGAATTAGCATTTTTAATTCCCATGAATTTTCCAGGTTTTTAATGACCGTAAGAACCCTGAAGGTTTGTCAAGATACGTTAAATCTCATGTTGGTTCTATAAACACATCATCAACTGAAATGATCACCACTTCTTAAACCAAATACAGTTTTATTTTTCTGTAACTGTACAGCACATTCAACCATTTTGGGCCCAGATAAACAGTGCAGTGTTGTGTAAGCATGTCAGTGAACGCCTCGTTACATGTTGACATTTAAACTTTCAGGTTTGATTAACTCTGCCGAGAAACAGAACGACTGGGAATCATTCTCTGGAGGAGGAAGAACTCCTACACCACAAAACAAATCTGCTTCTGAACAGATTGCCGATAGAGCCCATACATGTTTAAAATGAACCTTAAAGGAACAGTACAACATTTACTGAACCTTAAAGGAACAGTACAACATTTACTGAACCTTAAAGGAACAGTACAACATTAAGTGAACCTTAAAGGAACAGTATAACATTAAGTGAACCTTAAAGGAACAGTACAGCATTAAGTGAACCTTAAAGGAACAGTACAGCATTAAGTGAACCTTAAAGGAACAGTACAACATTAAGTGAACCTTAAAGGAACAGTACAGCATTAAGTGAACCTTAAAGGAACAGTACAACATTAAGTGAACCTTAAAGGAACAGTACAACATTTAACTAAGACGAACTAGAAGCTAACCCAAGGACTGTATGCATATTCTGAACTGACTGTCTGAACCTAGATGCTAAAGAGAACTTAACTTTAAGTCAGCAGTCTGGACCTAAACGCTAATGAGAACATAAGCTAATTCTAAGTTTACTGTCAAGAGAGAGAAGCTAACATACTGTAGACCAAGAGTAACCCCAACACTAAAAAAGAACTACAAGGTAACCCTAAATTAGCTGTCCCAACCTAGAAGCTGAGAAGAACCATAAGCTAACAAGACCTAGAAGCTAACTCTAGGTCAACAGTCTTGACCTAGAAGCACTAGAAGCTAAATCTAAGTTTACTCTCTGAATCTGGAAGCTAACCCTAACACGAAAAAAAGAACAACAAGGTCACCCTAAAATAACCGTCTGCTAACAAGAACAACAAGCCAAGTCTAAGGTAACAGTCCAGACATCGATTCTAGAAGCTAATAAGACTTAGAAGCTAACTCTAAGTTAACGAGAACTGGAAGCTAACCCCAACAGCTAGAATAAGAAGACATACTTTATTAAAGACTAGAAATGAAATGAAAGAACTACAAGCTAACAGAAACTAGAAGCTAAGTCTTAGTTACCTGCATGGACCTAGAAGCCAACAGGAACTACAAGCTAACCCAAAGCTTAAAATAATTGCTCTATTTCTATTATATTTTATTATATTTACTTGCACTGTTGTATCTGTTGTATTGTGTTGCACTGTTGGAGGAGCCTGTGACCTAAGATTTTCATTGATATAACTACAATGTAGAAATGACAATAAAAGCCTTGAAACTTGAATCTTGAAACTAGAAGCTAAAAAGCCCTCAGATCTGACAGCCTCTGTCTGTCTGTCTGTCTGTCTGCTGGTTTCGTGAAATGTTTCCGACCTAAAAACATCAGTTTGAGAGAAGCTGGTTTATGATCGGTGTACGAAGCAGCAGAGACTGAACAGAGATGGAGGAAGCGAACAGTAATCTAATAAACTGAGAGAAGGATGGAGCTAGATCATCCACTGTGACTGTGATGAAGAACAGACACACAGACAGCGCTGGGTTTTCCTGACAGTGAGAACAGACACTGAACGCAGCTCTTACCGCCACGGCCTCCAGGATCTGTTTGATGACGTGAGCAGCGTCTCTCTCACTGTAGTACCCCCGCTCCACGATCCTGCAGAAAAACATCAACAAAAAATATCACATCAGGCCTAATTATTACATTTTCAACTTCTATCTATCTATCTATCTATCTATCTATCTATCTATCTATCTATCTATCTATCTACCTATCTATCTATCTACCTACCTACCTACCCAATAATTGCAAGTCTCTTCGGTGAGAATGTCACAAAATGATTTTTTTTAAAAAGTCAAATTCTGGAGAAAAAAAAGTGACATTTGGGGGAAAAGCAACGTTTTGAAAAAAAGCAACGTTTTGAAAAAAGAATTCTGAGAAAAAAAGCATATTTTGAAGAAAAAAAAGTCAAATTCTGAGAAAAAAAGTCAAATTTGAGTTGCATTGTGGGACATGTAGTTTATGGGCAACGTGCTTCTGTAAATCGCCATGTAACCGTATAATAAACATATTATATTCTTTGCAAGCTCTTGTGGGGCCACAGAAAATGAAGTCACAGACCAGATTTGGCCCCCGGGCCTTGAGTTTGACACCCCTGGGCTAAATGCATTGATTATAATGCTATGGCTTCCATAAGGTTTATAAATGTGTTTAATTACAGTGTTTACCTGTCAAACAGCTCTCCTCCCGTCACCAGCTCCAGAACCAGAGCGATGTCGGTGTCCGTCTCGAAAATGTCCTTCAGCTGGATCTGAGACGAAACAAGAGAAAAAGGGAGGAATTAAATGAAAACACTCAATGATAATCATTAATTGTATATTAGGAGATACATATAGTGTATAGTTTGAACATGTACCACGACTCAGCGTTTGCTACAGCAAGTGTAAAAACATGTTTCGAATTTAGCTAATCTAAGACATCCAATGGACAATGTAAGTGCATTTCAAGTGTACTATGTATTAATTTATTGAGCTGTACTTAAATCAGGTTTTTAAATTGTTTGACTGATAGAGATCATGCAATGTTATTATTTGTTTATTGATTGTTATGAACCTGCCTGAGGACCACAGATGGAAATGAGCTATTAGCTATAATCTGGCATATTGCATCTCTTCTCTTTGCTGAGATTAATGTATTTGTATCAATCAATCAATCAATGTTTATTTATATAGCCCAATATCACAAATGTTACATTTGTCTTAGTGGACTTTACAGTTTGTACAAAATATCAGTATGACAATATGACACCCTCTGTCCTTAGACCCTCTGTCCTTAGACCCTCACATCGTACAAGGAAAAACTTCCGAAGAAAACCCACAGCTTAAAGGGAACATGGGAGAAACCTCAGGGAGAGCAACAGAGGAGGGAACCCTCTCCCAGGACGGACAGACGTGCAATAGATGCCGTGTGTAAATTGAAAAGATAATACATTTGCAACATAGGTAGACCAAATGTGTATTAGGGCTGTCAGTCGATTAAAATATTTAATCGCGATTAATCGCATGATTGTCCATAGTTAATCGCGACATTTTGTATCTGTTCTAAATGTACCTTAGAGGGATATTTTTCAAGTTTTTAATACTCTTATCAACATATGAGTGGACAAATATGCTTTATATGTGTGTTTATTATCATTTGAACAATGACAAATATTCTCATGAATATTAAACACAACAACCTCTGAACATTACAAATATTCACCTCAATTCAACCTGGAACCTCTCATTCAATAATACAATACAAAGTGTGTGTGTGTGTGTGTGTGTGTGTGTGTGTGTGTGTGTGTGTGTGTGTGTGTGTGCGTGCGTGCGTGCGTGCGTGCGTGCGTGCGTGCGTGCGTGCGTGTGTGGAGAGAGATGGATCGTTGGAGCTATGTGCAACTCAAGGCATATGCTCGAACGGGAGCTGCCTGGACGCTGCAATCATGTTGCACTATCCGTGCTTAGTGTGCTGACTTTTCGTACAATGTCCCACTGTCTGGCTTCCTGAATAAAGTCAAGTGCTCGGCGAAATGTCGCTCCTCTGTTTTCATTGAAACAGCTCCTTATATCCGTTAGCGCAGCTAGCTAGCACCAGATGCTAACAACAACAATACACGTAAGGTGTGCCTCGCTCGCTCGTGCCTCGCTCGCTCGTGCCATACAGACACACACCCTCCCGGTCCTCCAGATGGCCAGTCGGTGCCTGCCGGTGAGCGTGGAAGTGTGGTTTGCCACAAGCGGGCGGCAGGAGCGGGGCTGTCAGCATCAGCTTGTAGAATGTATTTTAAACTTGATGCGCTCTGAAACTACGGGGCGGCCGAGGACAAAAAATACACATGCGTTAATCGCGTTAAAATAATTAGTGGCGTTAATTTTTTTTTGCGTTAACTTGACAGCCCTAATTTGTATGCATGGTCCTTCTATAAATAAATACAAATATATCACACAAGAAATTCTGTAAAAATGTCACTTTGTGTTCCCTGTTCCTCCAACTGATATAATTCTGCATTATATTTATTTCGAAATATATATCATACATACCTACCGATTTGGGCGGCAGTTTCTACCGCCTACCGATTTAGCTGACGTTCCCTACCGATTTTCAATCATCCCAAACTATAACAAGTACAAATGACACTCCATAGACACAGGACTCGACTTTTGGAGGACACCGTTTGCAGCATGTCTGTGATCCCATCATACAAACAGTCCTCTGTGTTCTGAAAGAGAAACAACGTGCAGAGGAAAAGGCAGCGTTACCCCCGGGGCTGATGGGTAATCACTCCCAAATGAGTTTAAGGGAACAGAGACGAGGCATTTGAGTCCTGCACGGTTTCCCCGTTAATATCAGTGTCTCGAAAACACATGTTGGCGACTGGAAGACATCCAGTGTTTGGTCTTTTCCTGAAGCATCCTTCACCTACAGTGTCTCAACTGAAGGAGGACCACAAACACACACAACATATAATACAATTTTGAGATTTGGGGATATTTATCTCCCATTCTTTCACTTTTTCGGACATGTTCAACACCAAACATGTCGTTAATGTCTCTGTTTAGTGAACTACAGCAATCTGAAAGCCTCTACATTATTTATATCACACTTTATCAGTAGAAAAATCCAGGAAATGACTTTTTTTAAATCAGTATTTTCTGATGTATGGCGCAACACAAAGATATTTCGCTCTGTGCAAACCTTTGACTCTAATAGCCAACCTCCTATCCATCCCCATCCGCATCAATCACCGGACCTGGGGGGACAGAGCCTTCTCCGTCGCTGCCCCCTCCCTCTGGAACTCACTCCCACCACCCATCAGAGACTGCACTGACCTCACCACCTTCAACACACTCCCCTCTTCAATCTGGCTTTTAATGTGTGATTGTTTTTGTATTATTTGACTTAACTATATATTTATTTGTTGTTCCTTTCTTTTCTTTTCTCATCACTATATCTGTAAAGCGTCTTTGAGCACCTGTAAAAGCGCTAACAAATTCAATCTATTATTATTATTAATATGTCAACAACATGAAACAAGAATATGAACCTGGCTCTATCCAATGTTCACACAAGAGTTCTACATCCTGACACATCCTTCATCGACACTGTCTCAACTGAAAGAGGACCAGAAACACATTAAAAATATAATAAAATGTGGAGACTTTGGGATATTTACATGTGGATATTTACATGTGGATATTTACATGTGGATATTTACATGTGGATATTTATCTCCCATTCTTTTACTTTTCGGGCATTTTACAGACCAAACATGTCGTTGATGTCACTGTCACCAAACTACCACTTTTTCTGAAAAAATAAAATTATGCAATATATGTTAAATACATGGTTTATACATGTAATTACTGGGGTTCCATTTCTTCTGATTACCTCATTTGGGCGTGCACATTTGCCTTTTGCGCAAACATTTTAGACTTGGAAAGGTTGGCATGTATGTATCATATACAAACAGTGATTGATTTATTAGTGTGGTGAGGAATATACTTACGATGTTTGGATGGTGGAGACGCAGCAAGACTCCGATTTCCGTACGGACTATTTTCTTGTCGATCTGCGACAGAAAGAAACAACATGAGACTCAGACAGGAGGTGAACACAGAGTTGGCAGCAGAGCATAACTGTGTGACTTTTGAGAATCTGAAATAAACGTTTAAATATCAAAATAACACAAACTAACTATGTGATCGAGGCAGCAGAAGACCAGAAAGTCCAGTGTTTTGTGGGGTTAAAATGTATGTCATATTTCCTTCTTTATTCCACACCAGACATGTTCTATTTGAGCTTGTATTTAAGGTCCTTTTCTCTTGGCGCTTGTACTTATATAATTGTCCTTTTATGATGTGTTTCTTTTAAAATGTGTCTAAATGCCTTTGATGTTTTATATATGGCACTTTGAATGTGGGTTTTTTGTGAGAAATGTGCTATAAATATATATTTGCCTTGCTTTAGAGAGCATACTGTATAGAATAGAATATAATAGAATCATGTAATGTCATTATACATGTACAATGAAAGAAAGAAAAGCTTCTCCCTTTTTAAAAGGTGCCATCAAAACAAAAACATCACAACATACGACAACAAATACACACAGCATACTTAGGAATGAATAATATGTATGTATTTATAATAATGATATACGTTTATTGCACATGGAGGATGATTAAGGGGTATGAGTTCAGGAGTTTAGTGCAATGAGGGCTCTTGGGAAAATGGATTCAGTTCCTCGTCCAAAGGGCTGCCTGACAGCAAGGTTCAAAATATTCTAAATATAGCGTACACTTAAAGCTCCCATGTCGTGGACATTTCTACTGATCATAATTCCATAGTTGAGGTCTACTAGAATAAATGTATATTGTGCAATTTTCCAAACTCACATTGGTTTCTCATACAGCATCTCTGTATAGTATGTGTATTCACTCTCTGTCCTAAACGGCTTGTTGGAGCTCCTGCCCCCCCCCCCCCCCCCCCCCCCTCCCTGTGAGCCCAGTGGCCGTCTGCGAGACAGCGAGACACCGTGGAACTCAGCCTGGGCACACACACACACCCGCAGCCTGGCTGGGAGTTTGTGTGTGTGCCCAGGCTGAGTTCCGCGGTGTCTCGATATCTCGCCAACCCCACACCAGTGAGCCAGCTCACAGTGTCCCGCTCCTCGCAGCAGCGAGCCTCGCAACGTCCCGCCGAGTGTGTGTGTGTGTGAGGAAGTCCGCGGATTGGTCCAAACTTAACGGCTCCACGGACGTAACGTAACGGCTCCGTCCATTTGGACCAATCTGCGGAGCCGTTACGTTACGTCACTATACCCGAAATACGTCACTATACCCAAGAAGCAAACAATGGATAAAGAGAAATGTCCAACGAGGCGTTCTGGGGCAGCACAGACAGGTCTTCTCTGTGTTAGAGTTTTACTCGCTACAGGGTGTACTTTGAGGGTTTGTGACTCTGCAGACCGTTTACATGCAGAAAAACCTTCATAACACAAGGGGACGGGTGATAACCAGAAAAGCATGACATGGGACCTTTAAGCTGATATTGCATTTTTTGTAGGTGTAATACACTGAATATGGAGAGGTACCCACTTTAAAACATCAAAGCCATCCCTTTCTGAAAGATTGAACACACATTTAGCAGATTGAGAGCCAATAGGACAAAGATTTTAGACCAGGTTTTTGCATCGTGGCGTTCACTGACCGTTTTCTTGAGGACTTTTAGGGCGTAGGGTTTCTGCGTCTGTTTCTCCTCACAGCGATACACGATGGACGTCGCTCCTCTGGAAGAAAACACAAAGCAACAAAACACCAGTGTTAAATCTGACCTGCGTTTATACTGTATGTCCTACTTTCAGACAAGAAAGCAAAAATATAGAGCGGTGAAACACTTTTAAAAGGTCGGTCTGATGTCCTCAGAAAATGGAAATGACTGCTTTATGAAACTGCTTTTTTTCTACCTCTTTCAATAGATGGATAGATAGATAGATGGATAGATAGATAGATAGATAGATAGATAGATAGATAGATAGATAGATAGATAGATAGATAGATAGATAGATAGATAGATAGATAGATAGATAGATAGATAGATAGATAGATAGATAGATAGAGATAGATAGATAGATAGATAGATAGATAGATAGATAGATAGATAGATAGATAGATAGATAGATAGATAGATAGATAGATAGATAGATAGATAGATAGATGGGTAGATGGATGGATGGACCACTTTTGGACAAAATGTACTCTCAATTAAGGGCAGCTCATTCTGGAATAGCCTCCCAACTGAGATACAGGATTGTCCCACTTTGAACAGTTTTAAAGGTCAACTCAAAGAATGGTTGAGAAACCAACAGACGTGCAATCACCGCTAAATGCACTTTAACACAGGGGTATCTCCTCTTGCACTTTAGGTAGCTCTTGTATCTTCTCCTGCACTGTACATGTCGTTGCTGCTACATTGTACTGCCATGTGGTAAATGCTTGTATGCTGCTCATGCTCTTTCTGCATATCATGTATTTATTTTTGCTATGTATATAAATGTCATGTTCTTAAATGTTTTATGTGAGGGGACTGCGGATGGAAATTAGCTCAAAGCTAAAATCCGGCATATTTACACTTGATGCGTTATTTGTATTAAGTGTTCATTAATGTGCATTGTCCCGGTTCAAATAAACGATTAAATGAAATGAAATGAAAAAACTGGATAAAGATAAGAGAATATTTGAATATGTGAGTGGTGGAAATAAGTTCATCTTATGCTCTTCTGTCATTTCTATCTTGAATTGCTCAAACGGCGATGAAACTCTTTGAATTTGCTAAAATAAATGTAATATATTTTGTTGTAATTTCATGTAAATTGTCAGTTTGATGTCTTTGTTCTCATTTTTATGAGTAGCTTTCACACTAGATGTTTCTCTCTGGTATTTTTACCTTGAGTGTTTTTTTACCCAGTGTGAAGTAATTAGTAGCTTCCTAGCAGTGGTGACATGTAGCTGTAATTACACGCTCATTTAAATGCACTGTGTAATTTGCTTCAATTTGAGGTTTTAATGATGATTCGAGATAAAGGTTGAGGTATTTATTATCTTAAATTAAGAGCTTGCTCTCCACCTATACCTCACAATCACAACGGATTACAGGCTTTCTTTATTATTTATATTCTAGTTGTTTTAATTCTGCTCTCGGTTTGCAACAAATAATTAACATATTGATTGCAATATACAAAATTATATTTACGCAAGACAGATTGGGGGTTATATAGGTAATTAAGTCAGATTTTTAGAAAGACAGAAGAGACAGACCGGGCTCCTCCTCGTCTTTCTCTGAGAAAAGTCGTGTTCACACAAATTCATCCTGACTATGAAAGTGCTCTGAAGTGTGTGTGTGTGTGTGTGTGTGTGTGTGTGTGTGTGTGTGTGTGTGTGTGTGTGTGTGTGTGTGTGTGTGTGTGTGTGTGTGTGTCATTCTGCTAGGACAGATGGAGGAAACAGATCTGTCTGTAAAGCAACCAAGAACACACACTCGCACCTACACACAAACACACTCGCACCTACACACACACACCCACACACGCCTACACCCACACACAGTGCTGGTCGGTCTCCATGGCAACAGGGCACCTGGTAACAGAGCTCACACGTTTGTGAATTCACTGCTGACATAATTTGGCTGTTTTCTTTCATGGAGCTGTTAATGTTGTTGTTGTTTACAGGAATAACAACAAACAACATGACTGTGAACACTCGCAGGAACAATAAACAAACAGCCAGCGGTTTGGTCACTTTTACCTGGAAGAAGGGACTAGTGAACTTGCAAAAGAGGCCTATTAGCATGTTAGCTGCTAAAACGAATGCCATAGCTAACTTATTTTGGAATGCTAACGATATTGTTAGCTGTGCAACGCCAGAAATGAGTCAGCATGTTAGCACTTTCTGTTTGGTAATCTCAAAGTGAATGGTTCGGTTTTATGAATAGTTTTGGGGTTATTTGTCTGAAATAACGTATGTGGCTGAAGACTTTTTTTTATTTAAAGAAAGTTTTGTCATAAAATCTGTCAGTAAATACCCCACTGGTGAAAACAGCAGTTGCTAACAAGTGTCTAAATGAGACGACTAAACATCATCACGTTCAACATTAGCCACCTTTAGCTGAGCGGTGGTGACGTGAAGTCATGTGACCGTGCTATAGTTCCTCTATAGCCCAACATTAGCTGCCTTTAGCTTAGCGGTGGTGACGTGAAGTCATGTGACCGTGCTGTAGTTCCTCTATAGCCCAACATTAGCCGCCTTTAGCTGAGCGGTGGTGACGTGAAGTCATGTGACCGTGCTATAGTTCCTCTATAGCCCAACATTAGCCGCCTTTAGCTTAGCGGTGGTGACGTGAAGTCATGTGACCGTGCTATAGTTCCTCTATAGCCCAACATTAGCCGCCTTTAGCTTAGCGGTGGTGACGTGAAGTCATGTGACCGTGCTGTAGTTCCTTTATAGCCCAACATTAGCCACCTTTAGCTTAGCGGTGGTGACGTGAAGTCATGTGACCGAGCTGTAGTTCTTTTATAATTATAGTTAGCTTTTTTCTTCAAAAATCATAAATTGGTGTTAATATGTGAAGATTATGCTGCTGATCAAAACATATAAGTATCGGAATTGTTAGTTTGCCATAGAAATTATGTTCTGCAAAAACCTAAAACCCAATGGAAAAATCGTATTGGTTGTTGGAACAAGTGGCGATGCAAAATTCTGGGTTGTAGAAAATACTTTTTGCTTGTTGTGAAGGTTTTTGAATGTGTGTTGGCGGGCAAACAGTGGTACTTTAACTTCCACATCAACTTGTGACATCACTGGGCCGAAAATACTTTTTCCCATTGATATACTGTCCATTGGGAAGAGACATCTGTTAAACAGTGAAACATTTTTTAACTGTATTCTTAGGCCCTAAAGTCGTAAAATCCGCTAAAAGTCAAATCTAGTGTTATTTTGGCTTTATGCACCTGAACTAAAAGTGAATTTAGCCCCGCCTCCCACGCTGTATCCAGTTCTCTTTATACATCCATGGTGGCCACAGAGTTTATATTAAATCATAAATTTGACCTCCATTTTGATTGAAAGTTGAAACATAGATAGTGTTACGACCCTGGGTCGTTCGGTCATTTGTGTGTACATTTTTCCCTCCTCCTGTGTCTGTGTGTGTGTGAGCAAGCAGGTGGTGCCCGTTAGCTGATTACCTTCTGCATGCTGATTGGTCCACCTGGTTCCTCGGCCACTCTCTCTGACTTGACTTCTCCTACTCCCAACACAAATTTGCGTACGATATCTGTCCTGTTGTGCTAATACTTATTTATACCGGTTCTTCTCTTGTGTCGTGAGACTGTTGTATGAAAAGCTACTGAACATGTCTTTGTAGACACGCTTTACTTTTTTCTTAGGAGTGCAAAACCCTTTTCTTTTGAATATTTGTTTTCTCCTGTTTTTACAGTAGATTAGGTAAGAAGCCTGTATGTTTATTTTCTCTTTCGTTAGGTAAGATTTTTGTGTTTAAAGGTTTGTTTGTTTTATGGTTTTGTTACTCCTGTTTGGTAATAATGTGTTGGTAATTAAATTTACCAAACGGCATTCTCTGACTCAGTGTCCGTGTTCTTGGGAGTGGGAAGAGTGGGAAGAGTGGGAAGAGTGGGAAGAGTGGAAGAGTGGGAAGAGTGGGAAGAGTGGGAAGAGTGGGAAGAGTGGGAAGAGTGGGAAGAGTGGGAGTGGGAAGAGTGGGAAGAGTGGAAGAGTGGGAAGAGTGGGAGAGTGGGAGAGTGGGAGAGTGCACATTTTGTGCTGCGCCTAAATTCCCCTAGACCTGGGCGTAACAATAGTTGCTGGGATTAAAGTCTAAATTTAAGAGAATAACATTTGCATTTATTCTGAGATTCAAGTGGGCCTACATTTCCACTAAAACTCACACATTTACGAAGAAAATAAACTTTGATAACTACATTTAAAGTCTTACATTTATGAAAGAAACACCTGGATCGTGAACGTGATACATTTGTAAAAAAAAACAATATAATTTCACTTTTCAAGATTAGATCAATCTGCAATCAATCTTTTTGAAGTAATTTGGTAACATTATAGTTTTAGAGAATTTCTAATATTTATCTTTTTTTTTTCTTTTATGTATACAATCAATCAAGGGCATCACTTGGACGTAAAATGTGGTGGGGACCTAGGGGAATGTTTTTAAATGGTCTTCAAGGTATACATTTTATACAGACATTTTTGGAGGTAGTTATCAATGCCTTTTGGTCATTTTATAGGGTTTTTTGTTTTGCTCTGGACATTGCACATTCATTTATTCTATATTTATATGTCATGTTTTCCTATTGTGCAAATACATCCTTCTGAAAGCTTTTTCAAAAAAGTAATTGGGACAAAATGTGCCAATTCAAAAAGTGATGGGCCCCCCCAGTGTGTAAATGACACACCTGTCTACAATGGACTGAATATGGTATAAACCAGGATCACTTATGTTGGAAACTCTGGTCCAATGGGGGGCCCATGCAACCTCAACCCCCCCCCCCCCCCCCCCCCAGGCATGGGAAGTTCTAAGGAGGGGCCAACATGGGCCAGTGCCCCTATAACACGGAGCTCCAAAAGATAACTCTATGATAATGCAATTCCTTTTATATACTAAATTACTGTGCTTTTTTCAGGAATGTAATTTAGTGGAAACTAAGGTAACATGGTGCAGGGTCCAATGGGGTCCCATGCTTCCTTAACCCCCCCCCCCCCCAGGTAACATGGTGCAGACCTGCCCAGCTCGGAGCTCAGGGTGTAGAACTCCTCGACCGCCCCGTCCCGCCTCGAGCCGTCCACCCAGAACTCCACCGGCGCAGAACCGGGCCGGGACGTCGGCATGGCTGACAGCAGAACTCCCCCTTCAGAAACACAAACAACCAGGAGCACCGAGTCCAAGATCACACCGGGACCGGGACCAGCACGTGACCCGATCAGATCCAGGAGCAGCAGAGCAATCCAGATCAGATCTCAGATTTAAATCCAGCTCGGTAAAACCCGGATTAGAGAAGCAGAGGGGGGATGATTCATGATCCTGATGGGCTTTAATCCAGACCAGAGGAAGAGGAGGAGGAGGAAGTCTCAATCAGGACCGTTTATCAGACACAAGATCTGCAAAACTAATAAATGTTGTTTTTTTTTATCCTGCAGGGAAACACACGACTCCAGGGTCCAGATTGCAGGAGGATCCGGGTTCGAGACGCACCAGGTCCGGGTGTGTCGCAGCTCACATAGGGCCTAAAAAACGCTCTCAGATGTCGGATCACTTCAGTGCATCACCTCTTAGTCCTGGGTTTCCTTCGTGTTTCCGTGTTTTTACCGGTGGGATCCCTCCGGAGCCCTGCAGCCTGCGGGAGATCCAGCCCGGACAGCAGCCACAACAACCCCGGGTCCAAGGGGGTGTTTTCACAGGGGAAACAGACAGCGACACACCGGGCTCGGTCAATGCGGGATGTCGGTGCTCGGTGCTCGGTGCTCGGGGAGGATGTTTGATTCCCGGGCAGGGCAGCTCCAGATGTCCGAGGGATCTGCAGAGACAGAGATGCTGTAATCTCATAGTCCCGCCCACTCTCTCAAGCTAAAGACCAATCACAGAGCAGCAGGGCAGCAGAGTCGCGCTGCTATTGGACGGAAGGCCTGTCAATTACTGGAGCTCTGTCAGCAACCTAAATACAGAAATAACCTAAATACATAAATGTACATTAGCGTGACATCTGGATACTTTGATCCTGCGGGAATCAAACCAGCACCTCTGATACAGATACATGTGCCTTGCTAAGGAGAATCACACTTTAATATGTCTGCCTTTTATTTACCCTATTATTTATTTTAATTCTTCTGACAGAGGATGTTTTTTTTTAATAGTTTTGTTACTGGGTTTATTCGAAGAGGCTGCGATCTAAAGGTGAACTAAATATCCCAAAAAATCTGTAAAATGTCTTAAAAAATATAAGTTACATGTCAAATCAATATTGGTCAAATTTTGGACACAACAAAAGAATTAAGAAATATCCGGAAAAAATATTTTTTTAATCAAATATCGCAAAAGTATCAGTGAAAATCTAAATGTAAATGTCCGAGAACATACCAGAACAATTTAACACATTTAAATCATTACAAATATAAACCAACATTAAAGAATATTGGACAAGAGTTGATAACATGTTCTAAAAACCTATTAGTAAATCCTCCAAAATGTGTTTTTACAATCTACGAGAGAAAGTAAATAGTATAAAATATCGTCAATAAAATAAAGGTAGTATTTTACAAAATATATTAGAAAATGTTGGCCAAAAATACATAAAATATCTCAAAAAGATTCGTAAACACAGACATGCAGCTGACTGCAGAAGAAAGCCAACAGCGCCCCCCTGAGGTCAACAGTAATACTTTTGTTTGTAACTAAACTAGACCAAAATGTTTAAAATATGCACAAAACTTCTGTTAAATATCCAAATAATATTCTAAAAGATTGGACAAAATGTACATGTATCTCTCTTTAATCAAAGCCAAATCTTTTGCTCAGCAGTATTTACAAAACAGTCATAAATGGACCAGTGGATTCAGTAGTTTAAACAGCAACAGGGTGAGAATGAAAAACAGGACAGCACAGATTCACACAAGGTTAAAACAATTACAAAACCTGCTCTCAGATCGGACCAAAAGCCTCTCAAATATTTGATGAAGTATTGAGTTCAGCCGTGAATCATTCCCTGTGCCATGAGAGCGGACAGGTGAGAGGGTTTCTAACCTCTGATTGATGTTTCCAGATGTGAGCTGCTCGTTAGTGTGAATGGTTCAGGCTGTGAGGCAGGTAGACATCTGCTGCTGAACACAAGCAGGACTAAAGCTCTGAGTTAGATCTGAGGAACCCGAAGAAACGCAACCAGCTCAAAGATCAACCAAGATGTGAATCTCTCCAGATGTTTCAGCCTGAAACCAGCTGTGATCTGACACAGAGGGGAGAAACACAAAGTCACAAGACTACTAACTCAGAATATCCGAGATAAAAGTCATACAGTTTCAAGAAACAAATGGGATATTTTCTGAGACTATAATGGTAAATCTAAAAGAAAGAATGTTCCCTTGGATCATAAAGGCACAAATAACGTTTAAAATGTGTTCTAATTATAACTTTAATCTCAAAGAATATCCCAGTTGTATGTAAAACTTGCCTAATTTGGGTTAGTATTCAATATTGCAGAAAAACAAATAGGCAGTTACTTTTCTATTGTATTTTCAGAGGTGGCAAAAATTATTAAAATACTCTGTTTTAAGTAAAAACAGGCTACTGTATTCAAAATTGTACTCAAGTAGAAGTAAACAAGTGTAAGGATCAACATATACTTATACTTAAAGTCACGCAGAATGGCACATTTAAGCACAATATTTTTTAAATGATTTTATTACAATTATTGATGCAATAATCTCCGCATCACTTTGATGTTGCACTTGGTAAAAGTGGGTTTTATTAAATTACTATTATTACTATAACTAATATTATGTAAAGCGTCTTTGAGCATTAGCAAAAGCGCTATAAAAATCCAATGTAGTATTATTATTATTATTATATTAAAATATGTATTGAACCCCTTTACACAGACTTGCAGGCATCTGAATGCACTGTTCTGATTGGTTGACAGGCACTACCTGAAAGTCAAACTGAGGGAGAATTTCCCCCACTGCGTGTGTGACGTAGACACTAAACAGTAGGTGGATGATGTTAACTTCCTAGTTGTCTCGATAGTACTTTAATAACAGCTAACGCGACGTGTATATCTTCTAAAAAACCCAAATATAAACTCGATTCCGGTTAAAAAAGTGAAACTCCACGGCTCTACTTTTCTCTCTCTGATACAAGCGGAGTGTTTTTTGTCAAAATGACTTTTTACAGACTTCTCTCCGCGGTTCTTTTACCGATATGTTGGGTGTTTGTTGTCGTGGTGGGGAAAGCTGTAAACCCGGTCACAGAGGCTCAGATCCCCGCAGTGACGAACTCCAGCACCGGGGGGAACTCCACACACAGCGGCGGGAAAAAGCACCGCGGAGGAGGGCTGTTTAACGGGCTGGACAGCTCCATGATTCACAGGGCCCTGTACGTGCTGATCGGGATCACCATCATCGGGGTTATTTACTTCGTCATCCGGGCTGTGAGGTGAGGACAACCGTGATTAGGACCACACACCAAACTCCATTCATAAAAACAACGATTTACACTAACACTGGGGACAGATTAACCAACGTAGGCTACAATGTGAAACTTGTTTTCTTCTACTATAGTAATTGGCACAAGCTTACAAATTATACGTACACATTATATATCTTATCACAAATCTACATTGCGCATTTTACCTTTACGTGGAGCCCTTTATATGGATAGATGCAACACCAAACCCCATTCATAAAAACAGTGATTTAGTAAACACTGGGGACAGATTAACCAAAGTACAATGTACAACTTTTTTTCTTCTTCTACAATAACATGGACAAGCCTATAAATTATACGTACACATTATATATCATAATACAGATCTATATTGTGTCTCTTACCTGAATGTGGAGCCCTTTACAACCCTTTATATTGATTAATGCAACGCCAAACTCCATTCATAAAGCAGTGATTTAGTAAAAAATTGTGACAGATTAATAGAATACAATGTGTTATTTTTTCTTAGCCAGAGGTGGTAGAAGTACTCAGATCTTGTAGTAAAAGTAGAAGTACTCAGATCTTGTAGTAAAAGTAGAAGTACTCAGATCTTGTAGTAAAAGTAGAAGTATTCAGATATTGTAGTAAAAGTAGAAGTATTCAGATATTGTAGTAAAAGTAGAAGTACTCAGATCTTGTAGTAAAAGTAGAAGTACTCAGATCTTGTAGTAAAAGTAGAAGTATTCAGATATTGTAGTAAAAGTAGAAGTATTCAGATATTGTAGTAAAAGTAGAAGTACTCAGATCTTGTAGTAAAAGTAGAAGTATTCAGATATTGTAGTAAAAGTAGAAGTACTCAGATCTTGTAGTAAAAGTAGAAGTACTCAGATCTTGTAGTAAAAGTAGAAGTATTCAGATATTGTAGTAAAAGTAGAAGTATTCAGATATTGTAGTAAAAGTAGAAGTACTCAGATCTTGTAGTAAAAGTAGAAGTACTCAGATCTGGTAGTAAAAGTAGAAGTACTAGAAGTACTCCAATCTTGTAGTAAAAGTAGAAGTACTCCAATCTTGTAGTAAAAGTAGAAGTATTCAGATATTGTAGTAAAAGTAGAAGTACTCAGATCTTGTAGTAAAAGTAGAAGTACTCAGATCTTGTAGTAAAAGTAGAAGTACTAGAAGTACTCCAATCTTGTAGTAAAAGTAGAAGTATTCAGATATTGTAGTAAAAGTAGAAGTACTCAGATCTTGTAGTAAAAGTAGAAGTACTCAGATCTTGTAGTAAAAGTAGAAGTACTCAGATCTTGTAGTAAAAGTAGAAGTATTCAGATATTGTAGTAAAAGTAGAAGTATTCAGATATTGTAGTAAAAGTAGAAGTACTCAGATCTTGTAGTAAAAGTAGAAGTACTCAGATCTGGTAGTAAAAGTAGAAGTACTAGAAGTACTCCAATCTTGTAGTAAAAGTAGAAGTACTCCAATCTTGTAGTAAAAGTAGAAGTACTCCGATCTTGTAGTAAAAGTAGAAGTATTCAGATATTGTAGTAAAAGTAGAAGTACTCAGATCTTGTAGTAAAAGTAGAAGTACTCAGATCTTGTAGTAAAAGTAGAAGTACTAGAAGTACTCCAATCTTGTAGTAAAAGTAGAAGTATTCAGATATTGTAGTAAAAGTAGAAGTACTCAGATCTTGTAGTAAAAGTAGAAGTACTCAGATCTTGTAGTAAAAGTAGAAGTACTCAGATCTTGTAGTAAAAGTAGAAGTACTCAGATCTTGTAGTAAAAGTAGAAGTACTCAGATCGTGTAGTAAAAGTAGAAGTACTCAGATCTTGTAGTAAAAGTAGAAGTACTAGAAGTACTCCAATCTTGTAGTAAAAGTAGAAGTATTCAGATATTGTAGTAAAAGTAGAAGTACTCAGATCTTGTAGTAAAAGTAGAAGTACTCAGATCTTGTAGTAAAAGTAGAAGTACTCAGATCTTGTAGTAAAAGTAGAAGTACTCAGATCTTGTAGTAAAAGTAGAAGTATTCAGATATTGTAGTAAAAGTAGAAGTATTCAGATATTGTAGTAAAAGTAGAAGTACTCAGATCTTGTAGTAAAAGTAGAAGTACTCAGATCTGGTAGTAAAAGTAGAAGTACTAGAAGTACTCCAATCTTGTAGTAAAAGTAGAAGTACTCCAATCTTGTAGTAAAAGTAGAAGTACTCCGATCTTGTAGTAAAAGTAGAAGTATTCAGATATTGTAGTAAAAGTAGAAGTACTCAGATCTTGTAGTAAAAGTAGAAGTACTCAGATCTTGTAGTAAAAGTAGAAGTACTAGAAGTACTCCAATCTTGTAGTAAAAGTAGAAGTATTCAGATATTGTAGTAAAAGTAGAAGTACTCAGATCTTGTAGTAAAAGTAGAAGTACTCAGATCTTGT